ATTGTCAAAACAAAAGTAGAAACACACAAATTTTTAATGGTTCACTCGAGTGAGCACACATCTCATTATAAAGTAGAAGGGATTCTAATGGCCCTCTCACTCCGCATCGCTCTAAAAAGGGAACCCGATATAATGCTTTATATGTGTAAGATTTTTAGGGTTGACCAATATTTTTTGAATTTCACTTTATCACTAGTGTTGTCCATCGGAGGTCGCCGATTGTACGTGGTTTTAGTGTCGTTTCGAGATTGTATTGGTCTAAACGAACCCTTGAAGAAGGGGTAAAAATAAATCTAACACCAAAAACGACATTGATTCAGCTTGTCTTAAATTTGGAAATTTCAGTTAACAAGTTAGCTTTTATTTGGTGTAGATCAAAATCGAACTTTTAGTAGATTTTGATAAAAGTTTATTAAATGTGTGATTGAAAAATTACAGATCTCATTAGATGTATGATTTAAATTGAGTGTTGACGCAATTATCGCTCTACATTGAGCTAATAGCTTGTTGTGCGAATTTCCTATATGGGCTCGCTCTGCCAAAAGCAAGAAAAACTTCATCCCTCTTTTTCATTTTTCGCCCTCATATCGCCACACAGGAGATGACGAAAGTTAATTCTCAAGAAAAACATTTGTCTAGTAAGATGTTTCAGTTCCCCCAATTTATCTGGATTTATCTTTGGGAAAATTACCTAAAAACCTACATTTAAAGACTAATTTTCAAAAATAAGAGAAATTAATTTTTGTTTCACAAATCAGGTGATAATTAGATTTTAATAATTATAATTATTAAAAATTTAATTAAACCTAACAAATTTACCCTATGTACGCCCAATTCATACCAAACCCTATCTTCATCATTCTCTCTACCTTCTCTCTATCTATACTCCTCACTACCTACCCACTTCTACCACTCTTCTTTTCGATTGGTAAAGGATCAAATCTATGCCATGGCTACCGCTTTGGCATTGGCTTAGGCTATGGGTGGCGACGCCTTTGGAGGAGGTTATGATGCGGGTAGCTCTACCATATCTCGTCTATGACGTCGCTGCTCCTCCGCACTCAGCGGCCAAGCGTTGCATCGTCACTGCTACTTGTAGACCAACTATGATTTTATCATTATGCTAAAAAGATAGGACATTGCTGACTGGCCAACCATGATTGAGTATTTCTTTTCAATTTTCCATTGCTCATCAATGTTTAGGATTTTGTCATTCATCCTGTAATGTTTTCTTTATGAAATTCATTTTTCTTGCTTTTTCTCGATGAAAGATTTTTGAAGTGTTACATTTGATTATGAAAAATGCTCTGTTGGCAAAAAAGGAGAAAAAAGCATGGATAGTTATAATCAAAATAATTTTATAAGACACGCATGAATTTGTTATTCATGTTACAATTTGTTCCCTTAGTTACCCATTAGTCATTTTTCAGATAGTAACTTGTCCTGCACAGCTTAATCAAGCAAGAAATCCTCATAAATGTTCAACCATATTTGTAGCCAATTGGAATTTTCATGCTTAGAACTTCATTCCAGATGCTGAGCACCTATTTATGGAGTTAATTAAAATGCCAAAATATAAAATATGTGCTCAGGATGCCTTATTCATGTAGACCCTGGTGAATATTATTTTTACAGTACCACCAAAACAAAAGTTCCCGTAAATTTAAATGGGTTCTTTTTTCTTACATTTAGATTTGTCATCCCTACTCTTTTTGTTTTGTTATTTGCGAGCTAATGTTTATTTAGATCTCCAATCATGAAATGGTCCAATAGTAATTAGTATGAGCACGCATGATTTATGTGTGTATTAATTTATTTGAGCAAGAAGAATGCCTTGCATGTAGGAGGCAGTTTGGCGGATACAAGAGCTAAACACATTGCTGTGCAAGTTGTGAGAACATTTTATGGCAACCACAAAGTGACTTCTTTTATAAAGTTGGCCGAGGTACCAGTTTCTCTTCAGAAAAGAGTAAACATGTTCTCACTGATGGTGAATTTGAAGAGAAATGAATGAAGATCTAGAGATGGCTTTGATGTCCTCCACATGCAGTACTCATATGCAAATGATGTCATACTAAAACATAAGGGATGCTTTTTTCTTTTTTTCTTTTCACATTACACCAATTACTTTCAGTTCATATTCAGTTATTGTGTATATTATGTATCGTAGGTAGGATATGATTGTCTTAATATTTGTAGGCTGAGAAATGAAAGTAACATCACTTTTATTGAACAAATTTTTCATCATGAGCAATTGTGGAATATTTTTTCTTGGTTTTGGATTGCTTAATTGCAATTTTATATAGTTAAGGTTCTTTTACAAAATAGATCTCAAGGTGATCTCCAACTTGGGATCTTCGAAATATCACACTTTGCTGCAAGTAGCATTGACGGCGCTAAGGATTGATGCCTCTTTTCGGTGGGTTTGACTAGAATTTCATACAATTGGACTCTGGGACTCTACCTTCTTAAGGAAATGATTATGACGATCGAAGGGGAGGGGGATTTTGAATGGTCAATTAGAGTAGCAAAGAAAAGTTTTAGATAAACATGAATTGGGAAATTTACGTTCTTATTGGGAATTTATTGTCATGGATTTAAGTTGAAGGTGGTAGTGGTGGTGTAGTGTAGGTGATGGTGATAGATTGTGGTGCTGGTATATGGTATGTGCAGATTTATTTGTAGTGATTTTCTGTGATCAATTATATATTTATTGTGATTGATTGTGACTAATTCTGTGTTAATTTTGATCAATTGTGACTTGATCATATATCAACTTGTATACCATCACAGTTAAAATGACCTAGTTACAGATAGTCATATTGAAGACAAATTTGGTCACATAAATAACACATGTTGATGACATGGTCAAAAATTAGATGGTTACAGACAATCATACTGAAAATAAATTTGATCACAGCTGGTCACATATAACATAAGTTAGTGACTTGGTTACATACAATTACAAATTTGATTAATGTAAGTTGCAATCAGACAATAATACGTCATAGTTAGATAACAAAAGTCACAATGAAAGCATTACAAGTCATAGATATTCACACTGAAAATACATCTGATCATAGACAGTCACAAATAACACAAACTTGGTCACAAAGAGTCACAATAAATATATAAAAGGTCACATATAGACATAATTAACAAAAATTGGTCACACAAAAGTCATCATTAGCATATTAGATTACATAACACTGTTAACATAGACATAGTCACATATAGTCATAGTCAATGTGACACTGATCATATATAATCAAAATTAAGATAGATCATGTCACAAATAGTCATATTTAAGAAAGAATTGGTTACTAACGATCACATTTAAGAAATACCTAGTCATATACAATCAAAATTAAGTTAAAACCAGTCACAAACAATCACACTAAAGACATACATGATCACAAATAATAATAGCTTACAAAGATCTTGTTTCACAAATAGTCATATTTAAGAAAAACTTGGTCACTAAAGATCACATTTAAAAAATACCTGGTCACACACAATCAAAATTAAGTTAAACCTAGTCACAAACAATCACACTAAAGACAAACATAGTCACGAATAATAATAACTTACATAGATCTTGTCACAAACAATAAAAACTTACACATACCTAGTCACATACATACAGGGACAATTAATAATACATTGTCACAGAATTATTAATTATAAATGTTAAGACATACAGTGTTACATTTATTAATTACAAACTACACAATTAATCGATCACGGTCACTAATTTTTCTTAGCACAAATCACACTATTTCTATTAGTCATAAATCACACCATTTTCCTTTATTTTAAGTTTAGTACTTCACTTGCTAGTCTTTTATTATAAAATAGAAATTTGAGGATTTCTTATCTATTATTGGAAGTTATCAACCAAATGTTTGATAGAATAGAAAATTTGGGACTTCCTTTGCAAAAACTGGAGTTAGCGCTCCACTACCTAGCATGCACTTGTATCCATTTTCTTCATTTGATAGAAACAGAGGCTGAAAATAGGAAGTAGAGGACAGAGAGCAGAAACGAGGAAAAAGGGAGGCGAAAAAAAGGGAGAGAGAAGAAAGGAAGAAAAACTAGGTGCTAACATCTTTAAGCTTAAGTCACATTCTTCAATTTCATTTCAATTTTCATAGCAATTTCACAAATTAACTCCCAACTTAGTTTCAATTTGTTGCTTCTCATGTGCATCACCGCCTATGGACCTCCTAAATTCACCTAAAAAAGTGTTGTTTGCAACAGCGGAGTCCTCAGAGTCTACACTGTTTGCTTCTTATCCAAAAAGGCGCGGCTGACACACTTATAGAAAAATTATTCGTTACTTTTGCCGCCTTCGGTAAGGCCAACCATTACGTTTCGTCTCTCTCACCAATAGCTAAAGAAAGAGGAAAACAATACACAGGAAAAACAAAAGAAATCGAAACCCTAAATTTGGAAAATGACAATGGTAGGGTGATTAAGATCGGTTCTTCCATTCGTCCATCTAATCCTCGCATCCGACACTATTTCCATCGTCGTCGCTCAAAGATCCAATGCACTGCAATCCCTCTTCCAGCCTCTCACCAACATCGAATTATAGTAGATTGGAGTGGGTATGGTTGGTGAATTGGGGTGTGTATGGTAGATTGAGGCATTTGTGTAGAGAAAGATTATTGTGGTTTTCTTAATTTCATGCGTAATAATATCTTACAAATATATGTAATACTTGATTTTTGAAATATTTTTGTAAGTTTGTTAAATGTGAAATTATGTATTTAAAGTATTATAGTTACATGGTTTTCCCTTTATCTTTTTTGGGCCCATAATTACCCGTTTAAGAATATTCCAAAAATAGCACTTTCTCGCTGGACAAATTGAATGAGTGAACTACTTGTATTTTTTATTTAATTTACCCTTCAAAGAATAGTAAACAATGACAGGGCAACTACGTGGCGCCTTGGGGTTGCAGTTATGTCGCCCCTAACTTCCCATTATTTAAGTGGTTAAAATTTAGTCCAAAACACACAGTGAAGTGAAATACCCTCTTCTACTGTTACTCTAGCTAACTCAGCAGTAATCCACCACAAAATCCCCAATTTTCAGCCATTTATCAGCATAATCCATCGATCTTACTACAATTGGGTCAAATTGATGCAGGAATCCGTCGCCATGTTGCCGGAAGATACTATCCCCAAGTCACCTCTCGATAAGCCGCTTCAGCAGCTCACAGAAGATGACATTTCTCAGATTACCCGCGAGGACTGCCGCCGTTATCTTAAGGAGAAAGGTAATGCTTTTGATTGACACCAGAACGAAATTTAAGCAAAGAATGAAGGCTGAATATAAAATAAGAAAAGAATTTAGACGATATATGTTTCGACTAGGAATTTGTTTCGGTGTAGGGATGAGGAGGCCGTCGTGGAACAAATCGCAGGCGATTCAGCAGGTGATAATGCTCAAGAGGCTACTTGAAACGACGTCGTCAGACACTGAAGCTGAACCTCTCAAAAAGCTTTACATTCCCCGCCTTACTAATGCTAATAATGAGTATGATGATAATCCACAGCGCGTGAGTAATTTAATTTTCATTTTTTTTTTCGGTTATTTTTTTTAACATTAAAAAGGGAATAAAAGATTCTTTGCAGGTTCTGCCTTTTCAGTGACACTATTAAATTAACTATCTTTTACGAGTTAAATTTTCATGTTAATTAAATAAATGTAGGTTTCTGAGGGAACGCTTGAATCAGCAGAAGAGAAACTGCCATTTCTGAGAAAGGATCCGGGGAAAAAGGATTCTTCTGGTGATCTGTCTGGGAGTTTGGTTGCCGTCAACAATGAATCTGCTCCTTCTAGGTGATTTTTTTTTTTTTTTTTTTTTTTTTTTTTGCTCTTTAGTCAGTTATAAGAACATACTCAATTTTTTAATATATTAATCGTTTTCTTTAATTGAAATCTTAATAATGTACTCCTGGTAACATTTACTCATGTTAGAGTTGATTTTTTTTGCTATGTAGATCGTGAAATCTGCATTGGTTATGTAGAATTTGATTTTTTCTTTAGTATTCTTTCGTCCAATATTTATATATATTTTTTTAGATTTGCTTATCAGCTCAATCCTAACGGTGACTGTTCTTTGGATTTTCATTTAGCATTTTGGCGTGTCTTAAATAGTGACTGATTGTCAGCGTTGATTCATTATGTTACTGACTTATTTTACTTGTCCATTTTGTTGAATTTTAGAAACCTAGCTGAATTTAACCGAACATAACTGATTAGATGCATGCCTGGCCGTTTGAGGATCTGAGTATATCATGTATGTGAGCACAATGGTATAAATGTCATTGTCATTAATTATCTTTCCTTGTCTACCATAATGACATCTTCTGTACACGTCTAGTGATGGCAGTACATGGTTGTCTATGTCACAATCCAAGTGATGCCATGCTGATTGATTATTAAATGTATTTGAATAATTCATATTAAGCGACCATGTTATGTACGATTCCCTGGTATTAGTAGACACTGGTGGTTCCATTTGTCAATTTGCATAGTTCGAATATTGGCCAAGAGATATTCTAGTACATGGATTAAAAATAAGTTGCTATTTTAGATGTTGCATTGCCATGGCTAATCTCCCTTTGTTGGCATTCTAATTTAATGTGTATTTCGTGGAATGCTGTGATTTTGTGCTCTTCAGTAGCTTCCTGTTGTCTTATTGTACAGTTATCATTAGCTAATATGTTCACAGCACACACCAAGATACATTGATGTGGGTTGTCAAAAAACCAGGTGAAGAAAGCTCCAAGAGGAAAACTGAGTCTGATGTTGGAAATGAAGATAGCACCATAGATAGGGGTTGGTGGTGCTGTGGTTGCTAGGTGGAGGGAGGGCTGTGAGAAGGTGAAGCGATAACAATTATCTCATATGGAGGGGATTAACAAGCGAGTCTGATTTACAGAAGAATGCTTCTTAGCTGCCTGATTGTCTAGAGATCCATTGGAGTATTTGTATTTGGGCCCAGTTTAGAGAATCTTTTCTGCATGAGGGAGATAAGATTTTAAGATGTGCCATCTTGAATGTACTTCCTAGAAAATATCTGGAGTTTGCATGTAATGTAAGAAAGCTCAAAACATTGTGCCTATACCAAACATAGCCTACATGTGGCTCATGTTTATAAACTGTTTATAAACACTCAAACTACTTTTTATCCACACATTTCGAGAGATCCACACCACTCAATTTTATTTATGTATAACACAAACCATTTGTGCTTACTTCCCAAACATGCCATTAGAAAAATAAAATACCTGGACAGTGAGGAAGATCTCATGACAGTGAAAGTTTAACTCTATTATAGTCTTAATACTCGATTGATAGATGTATCGCTATAAAGTGATAACGTTCAGCAGCAGAAAAAAGAAGAGAAATTGTCATTATTGATTAATTTACTCATGCGTTTATGTCCCGTAGTCTTTGAAGAAATTAGATCTGTGTGTCAAGATTGAGAGATTCTAGAGGTGATGAGATAAAGTTTGACCAATCTTCTAGTCATATTTTTTTTCCCCTTCAAACCAAGTAATCAATTTGATCTGCAGCTTTCATGAGGTCGTGACAGAGCCTATATAAAGAGTGTTATTTTAAGTTGCTATTGTATAGTGCATAAAGGTTGCGCCACACAACACTGATGTTTCTTCTAAATGCCTCTTTTTCCTTTTTTATAAGTTGATGGTTTTTCTTAATGGTCTCAGAACCGTGGGTTCAACAAATATTCCAGCTGGACAAATGACAATATTTTATTGTGGCAAAGTGAATGTATATGATGATGTGCCAGCTGACAAGGTATTGGAGCTCCTTTTCTATTGCATATGAATTGAGGCAATTTCGATGTTTCAGTCTTTAACATGACCAGCTAACATGTTTTTCAGGTACGTGCAATTATGCATTTTGCTGCAAGCCTGCACCAGTTCCCTCAGGAACCTCCATTTGACAGCACTGCACCAGTGCAACCTTCTCCATGCCACTCACAGTCTATAAGTGGCAATTTGTGCCCAGATTCTGCAACAGTACTCTCACCAGCTTTGCAGACAGGTAATTTAAATTTCAAGTTCTCTGTGGTTTTTCTGTGTCTTTCCGAGCCTGAAATTTATACTTTTCGTAATTATGATTTCTTAAATCTGTCTGAACCCTTGAGCTTGAAGAGACTCTTTTGGAACTTATGGAGATCATTTTATACCTGAGTAGTATTTTAACTCTCTCTCTCTCTCTCTCTCTTGCACACACACACACACACACACTCATCTCAACATTGAAAGCAACTCATCACTTTAGTAGTTTGAAAGGTAAATTTAGCACAAGTACTGGTGCTTTCTTATCAAATAGTCCCAGTTGTTACTGGCATGTTAGAGGTGCTGGGAGTTCCTGAGGAGCTTTGCTGCTTTGAATATCTTGAATTTGATTTCTTTATAAACAAGATACCCTATTGAGATTTCAGATACATTTTTTTACAGCAAAAATGGGTGACAACTCTCGACTGCATGGAGAAGAAAGTAATGTGCTTCATGAAGATTGCCCCGGTAATTTTCTTGTTTATATGTCTGCATTGCATAATTCAGCCCACTAATTTTGATTCTCATTTCCAAAAAGGTCATAGACAAACTGTTTCCCATAATAGAACGATGCCCAAAATGATGTGGTTCATATATAACTGCGTTTTGCACCTAACCAAGTCAATTGATAGAAAATAAGTTTTTCTTGATTGCATGATGTTTAGCAATATAATTTTGCAACTAATTTTCTTTGAAGTTAGAGCGAATTAGAGGAAAAAGATAAGAAAAGTATGTCTAGTCCCAAGGAAATTCTGGAAGTCTTTGGAATACTGGTGTCATTTTAATAAAAAGACAAGTTTTGTGAGTTAAATATATTGGTCTAAGAATCTTAGGACCTAATTATTTGACGATCACCAACAATAGAGACCATCAATTTGTTCAATTAAATTTTCCATTAGAGAAAATTCGTGAAATTCTTATATTATAGAATTTTTAGCATAGTGTTGTTAGGACTTGGGATCTAACACAGGCCATTATGGCCCTAGCCTGGATTCTACTTCTGATTCTAGATTGACCAGAATAATTATAATTGAAGTCTCATTTTCACTAAGGAATCGTGGAAAGCTAGTAAAAAAGACAAAATTGGGGATTCCTAAATTTATCTGGAAGATTCATGCTTGTTATGAGCCTGGAGACTTTTTGGTTCATCATGCTAATGCTAGGGTTTTTCCAGAATTAGATTTATCTCCAGATTTTTTATATTTTATAATGTAAAATTAGATTTAGCTACCCTGTCTTACTGCTGATAGTAGATTGATTGTTCTGCTCCTTTGCTTTCCAAAAAAAATAAAAAACCAAAAAAATAAAAAAATAAAAAACCAAAAAAATAAAATAAAATAAAAAAACAAAGAAAGAAAGAAAACTCATGATAGTTGTTTCCCAAATCCAAAGGCACCTGGGTTCTCCCAATACCTAAAAAGGTTGCACAGAGTAACAATGGATTAAAAAGCTGAAAGATGGGTATGAGTTGGATACGGGGCAAAGCCAGAAATTAATGTTAGGATGGGTTGAAATTTAAATTTTTTTAAATGAACTCACGTCACAATAGGCTAAACTCATGGCATTCATGACAGAGAGTCAGAGTGTACAACACTCAATGAAACAAAATAACTCTAGATGTTTCACCCTAAAATGTCCCACTAAATCATTTTATATTTTCTTGCCAAACAAAAAATTGACGATTACGCTAAAAAATATAAACTAACCGAACCATGATCAAAATAAGCAAATGATACATATTCACAATGAAAAATTAAGAAATTATTTAAAGAATACTATTCTAAATAAATTTGATTACCAGTATTTTCAAATAGAAAGCTTTGATCGAAACACGCAATCAATGATACATCACTATATGTTATTGTCTCAAAATACTATGTGGTATAGACAACAATTTTCTGCATCACTTCATTTCATAGTGAGTGGGGAATCATATCTAAAGAGAAAAAACGAAAAAAAATTATGAGAATCCAAATAAATTAGATTTAATTGATGTCCATATTTTGTTGAGCTTCAAGAATATACTTATATATAGACTAGTTTATAAATAAATTTTAACAAATATTCTCTTATTGACATGATCAAATTTAGAGCAAGTTATTTATTTTGATCATATCATCTATTTCATAGTCAAAATAATTAATTTTTTGTTATAAGTATGAATAGGTAATATATGAAAACGTATGTAGAAATAAAAATTAATTACTTTTAAGCTTTGCAAAACATTTAGTGTATAGTTTCTCTAATTATTAAAATAAATAATTTTTAGATCCGATCAATACAAATTTTCTATTATATCATAAAGTAAATTTAATCAAACATGCATTAAATAAAATGCCTAATTTAAAAATAAGATATTCACGTTTCAAAAATGTCATGAAAATGGTATTTAATATTGTTGCATCTTCAACAAGATTTGATTAATTGAGCATTTAGCTTGAATTAGAATCAAACTAGGGCTGAGTTAACACAAATATTTGGGCCAACCGGGCCATCGCACGGAAAACTATAACCGAAATCAAAATTGAACAAATTATTCTTAATTTTCCATATGGATTGGGAGGTTTACATCCACGCCTGGAGCTGGAAAAATCATCTAACCTCTTGCATGGGTTTTAATTACGACTCGTCCCTACAAGAAGTAAAGATTTGTGTTTATATATGCTCCAAAAGGCCCATGATGCTCTTTATTTAGATTGGCGAATACTTTTTTGAGTGCATATGCTGAATGAAGTTAACAAATTTTCCTTGGATACTAAGCAATAGAAAATTCACTTGTTATCACAGGCAAATTAGTGATCTATTACAAAAGAATAATGTTATTTAGAACTAATGGTGCTAGAGTGCCCGTCTAAGTGGCTACATTTTATAGATTGTCATGTGACTTTGCATTTAAATGAATCCATCATTTGATGTCATGCAATTGTTACCTAGACCGTGGCTTAACACAAGTGATGAATGGCATTACTCATTATGAAAGGAAGAGCAGTGAACCTGAACCGAGTAATGACCTAGTTGATCTAAGAATATTGCCCCGTATCCTTTGCCAAATGTCATTCTAATGTAATTTCTTCTATTTTGGAACAGCCGAAGGTCCATCAACCAGAAAAGCATCAGTTCAAAGATATCTTGAGAAGAGAAAAGACAGGTATCATAAATATTAAGCTGCCTTTTGTAACTAACAGACACAGAAAAGAAACACGAGAAGTGCTACTTTTCTTTCGTTCCTCATTATCTCTGTTAGGTGAAGGTTTAAGAGCAAGAGAAAGATAGGAATGGCCTCGTGTGCTGGATTGGACATATACGTTAATCATCAGATACCAAATGAGCACTCAAGGAGAAGTGATGCATGCTCCCCGCCCCAAATCAGACCACCCTCTACGCCTACATGGTGCAGGTTGGTTTGACTTACCTTTTTCATTAGCACATGGCTAGAATGATTTAGGTTTTGTATAGTGCTACTATTTGAGCCATTTGTTTTGGTTTTCCCTGTGCATGGAGAATAAATCTTTGCTCCAAAATTTGATATGAGTGTGCCCATGTTTGTCACATAATAATACGCGTAAACTAAAAATTTTTCCTTCTTTTTTAACCATGCATTCTCTCCATCAATCTACTATTCCATAATATAGTTTTCAAAATTAAAGGGGCTCAAACACACCCTGAGAAAAATCTGAAAAAAAACATGAAAACATAATGATTTTTACTGCATGTTTTGGATTTTTATATATTGCTTTCAGGTTAAATGTACTCGAGAAGATGAACTGAGGCGGCTGTGATGGTTGTTTGTTTCCCACCATAACGAGGATTATGAAGCCACTATCAATCTCAGATGGTCAGCTGAATTAACAAGAGATGACGCATAGATAAGAGAATTCATTAGGTATTTATTTCAGTTCAACGAAGAGGAGAGCTGTGAGTCAGTATTTGTATTTTCCCTTGACCATTTGGTTTTAGTGTTTGTAACCAACGTGAGAGTGATAATCGGCTTCTTGCCCTCTTCCGGATTAGTAGTATCATTTTCTTTATTTGTTGCATTAATCCGAAAGAATCTTTTAACTCGTTCTGCAGAATGTGTTACTGCATGTGGTCCTTCTACATAACGAGACGTCCAAGGTCTCATCTGAGTGTTCAAGTAATGAGGATGACAACGAACATTCAGATGTCATTTGTTAAATTGTATTTGTTCAATTGCTTGCCCATAGCTCCTAAGACAAAATTCTATAGACAATTATAAACTTTTCTGTACAAGTAACTACAAACTGAAAGACTACTGTCGAAGATTTTACGTGATCTCATTCTCCAGAAGGCGATGAAAAGTAAGGATGTCGTAATGCATCATCAACTGTAAGACGGTCCTCCTGTGATCCAAATCCATTGAATAAAAGTAAATATTATACCATTGAGTTTCGAACTATCATGGTAGTAACATAAAGGTCCAGTTATAACAACAAGGTGAAGACTGAACCTTGTAAGAGAAAAACTTACTGGATTCCAACGTAGCAAGTCCCGTACTAACCTCAAAGCCCATATATTTGGAAACCTGAGGAAATTTTTGGAAGGGAAGACATGAAATAGCAGTGAGTCACTGATTAACTACATGAAAAGTGTACTTATGAAGTGAGCAATGGAACATTAAACAGAAGACTGACCCAATTTTAAGAGGATCTCTACTCTTTATGTAATAAGAAAAGAATTCTTCAGAGCACTTCCAGGGAACTGGTGAAATGGAACCCTGAAATAACATTATATGACAAGATTTAATATGTATGTGTGTATATATGTATTGTATATATAGAAAATTTAATGTGCTCCCACCTTATAGATCACAGTTTGACAAAGTAAACTAGTCTACAGCTCTACCCAGCATATCCCAGCAAACTCTCTCCTCTCAATTAAGATGTTTTGGCAATTAACACCCAAAATGAATCGAATTTATGTCAGCATCATGAATATCAAATTGAAATACTCATACTGCAAAAACGTGGCTTAAAATTTGTAAATTAAGGTGTTTGAGGCTATATCTCAATTTTGTAATGTCTTCTGAGCTATGAAGGACCTCTTGTTGAAACTCACATCTTTATATTTTTTACACCATACTTTGGAAGCCAATACAATTTCCCCCCATTGTTGAATCCCATAAATCAGTACTAAGCATGTTACATGAACCAGTTGCAGCGAAACCACAATTGCTATGGCCTGTTAGATGTGAGAGATATGCCTTACAACGAGAATGGAGGAACCCAGCATAAACTGGATGTTTACTTGGACATGACATTCGAGGAAGGAGAAAGATCCATAGAGTAGAAACTTATTGCACCAACAATAGAAGAAAGTGGTCAATAATACTATAATGTCAACGATCATTCATATTCACTCTGAACAAAACAGCCAAAGATAGAAACGCAACATCTTAGAAATTGTTAGATCCTTGTCTGCCATCAATAAAGTAACCTACTGTGAAGCAATATATGAATCTAGATGGCTTGGATCATATATTAGAGAGGCTTCTGGAGCTATGACTGACTATTTCACATTGATTTACTTAAATTTAGGGCGATTGAAAAATAACTAAATGTAAAGTACTTATACATGGTAACTGATGAAAGAATTAAGGGAAAGGCAGAAAGTCGTGCAAAAAATGATTTATTGTAAACTACAGTCCTTGCTTGAAGCATGCATGCAACAAAAGAATTCAATGAAGAAAGAAAGTTTAAACTCACATGGCCATTTGAGCCCCAATTTTGGTGAAGCTTTGAGGAACTCCCAGTAATCAAAATGCACATCTCCATAAAAGCCCTAAGTCTAGAAGCAAGAATGTAGCAAAAGTTAGTGTTGGAGACTAAATTTAATATCCGTGTCCTCTCTTAACAGCTTAAGCTTTTAAATGAAGTGGTTCATCATGGTATTGGAGCAAGCAAATTTCTTGGGATCAAGTTTTGCTATCACCTATTTATTAAACTTGTGCACATATGAGGCTTTTGACAAAAAATGAATTCATTTTGTGTGAGTGAGATTTAAGTGAATAAACGTGTCACTCTTTAACGACGTTAGCTTTTAGATAAAGTGGTGCAACAGTTAGAAATTTGAAATCCTAAAGATTTTTATTTTTATTTTTGATAGATAAAAATTTGGAATCCCAAAGTTTTTTAAATTAAGTCAAGCAAAAACTAAGATTGAAAGTATGAATGAAATGATTTTTTGTTTCAAATAGTGATTTACCTAATTAGATTCAATTATTAATGAGTGGAACATTATGTGTTGAATAGGATTGCAACTGGATGGACCAAATACAGTAGTATAGGAGTGTGCATGATAAGAAAATACCTATCCAATTAAAGTCGACTCCTACATAACAGTTATTAGATTAGCTATGCTTTATGATTTTGAGCATTAAATGTCTGAACACAAAATGTTCATACATTGAACAACATCATAAGCAAATAACTAGTGGAGAAATCAATTTGGATAAATTAAGGGGACAATATTTTAGATAGTTGGGGAATGTCTTGAATAGAGCTAAAGAAACTAGAACAGGTTAGAAGAAGGAAGTAAACCAAAATTATTAATGTGGTTTAAAAATATTGCATTTCCTTGAACCATTTAGAAAAAGTAGCTTGGCAGTTGGCATTGATGGAATAATAAAAAACTATTTGTGTGATCAAGGAAAAACTATTTCTGTGATCAACTTCAAGGAAACAAGCTTAACTTCTTGTATGTCAGACATCAATTCAAAGACTTGTGCACCCACAATAATCTTCTAGACTTACTTGTAGGCAAGCTCCTTCAAGCTTTCGTTCCAACCCTCAAGGTGATGATCTAGAAGAGCTCTCGTTTTAGCATTTATTTGAAATGCATTAGGCGATCCTAAGATCAACTCCAAGATCACAACACCAACACTCCACATATCATACCTACGCGACAAATTCATTGTAAAAAATCAATCCATTACAGAAATGCAGTTCCCTAAGAGAAAAAGGGGGTTACTAAACATTAAACGTTTTGCCTTCGAAACTTTTCAACTCAGAATCTTAAGGAAGTGTTAAGACTATTATTCTCAATATTTTACTCAATAATTAGAAGCACTTTGGTAGGCACTCACATTAATTTTCTGACACCTGTGTTGGTGAGACATCCGTTATTTTGAATTGATGCACGGAATGTCTAACAAATCCCACGGAGAAGAAAACAGGTAATAATAACCAAATTTTAGTAGAATTCAAAAAAGTGTACTTCAATCTCCCTGACAGTTCTATTTTGTTGCAAAATCATTTCAAAATGGATTGGCAGCAGCATTCAATTCGGTCAGCTTTGTAATATCCGCTCTCTTGAATATTATTATTAACTACTGGAGCAATGAATAGTAAAATTGATATTACTTGGGCTGAAGAAGACTCCTAGAATTTTGGATGCTTATGATACCCTTTTTTAATTTCTTTATTTTTACCTCTTTTCATGATATATTTTTTCTTTATACGCACAACTTTACCGCACAAGCGGGAGCTAGGAAACGTTCCATATGTCCTTTCAAGTCAATGATGTTCTATAATTTCAATAAACTGACGTAATCTGTCCAAACAGGATCCAATGTTAAGACTAGAACCTAGTAATTGCGCTAAAATTAGCATGCTGTAGTATATTGGAGGAAATGTAGAACACCACAACAATTTCTTTTCTGGTTGTTCTATTTGAACTTATTAAAACTATATAACGGAAAAATAACTTTAAGCGTGATTCATATGTGCCAAAACTTTTTTACAATAAATGGACATGAATTCCAAAATTTATTTGCCACAGACAAAAGATAGTAAGGGGGTCAGAACACAATCAGTTCAAGAATATTAATTATGTGAGATTATCAACGTACTAGACATTAACTAATAAAAATATGAAAACTAAGACCAATTTACTAGGGGAAGAAGGTTGGCATACTTGGTAGTTACCCTTGATGGTGCCCGATACCAACTAACATTTAGAAAAGCTTCTGGAGGAGCATATTCGGATGTTTGTTCAGCTCTGAAATACAGAAAAAAACACAGAAGTTAATGTTGCAACAAGAAGCTGAAAGAAAGCCCCTATAACAACTCCTTAACACTGGAATCATAAACAAAATAGAAGGCATTATGTGCAAAACATAATGCACATAATGCCTCAATGCGACATTGGGGGCAATATATCTAATATAGAGAGAAAATTGCCAAAAGGATAATTTAGTACCGAGAAGGTCCAACGGAGCCGTATAAGTGCTTCACTGTGAACTCATCCATTGCACTGCCAAAGTCTATAATGCGCCTGCCAAATAACAGAGAGATCATTTTCCAAATGCAATAACTTTAACCCTAATAGAAGCGGAAGATCCGACTCTGTTATAGACAGAGAAAGTTGAAAACAATAATATAAAAAGGAAAACGATAAAAGGACCATATAATCTGAAGTACATTCTAGTAGTGTAGTTCTTATCTCCAAATGGGCTCTCTCTCAAGCATCTCCCTGATTCTTCATCTTTGAAGCAGATGATCATGTTTTCTTACAAGAGAAAATATACAACATTCTCCATTAGCATTTCAAAATATAAAAAAACTAGAGCTCAATGCATAGTAATGGATATGTTCTTACCAGGTTTGATATCTCTATGAGTGATATTCCGATCATGGCAGGACTTGAGTGCCATTAACTGAGAATGAAGTAACAAGTATTTTGTGATGCTTTTTTGTGCAATGCTATTGAGAAAAACAGAAGGTTATGATGTTATTGATGAGATAACAGGCTTGCTTCTTAATGACTAATGCTATCCATTTCCTAACGATTTATCTGTGAAATTTGGATTGACTGCTGCTGGAATATGTGGTCTCAGAATTCAAAAAATCATTATCAGTTGCCCAGTTTCGACCAAATTTGCATTTGTTACACCAGGACAACATCTAAGAATGTAAACTCATCCACACACTTAAAGTTCAAATTCAACAAAAGCAAAGTAGATGAAAACATTACCATACCAATTGCCATATAATGTTACGCATTTCCTCTTGCCCTGCTTCTGTTTGCTTCAACCAATGCCACCATTTTGAAGGATGCAGTAGCTGGACACGCTTCCTGTGTTCATCCCTTTCCTTGTCAGCATCAAGAACCAATTCTTCAGCTGTATAAAGAAGTTTTGACAATGACACGCCTTCATGACAAAAGACGAGCCATATTTCATTAGATCGTGACTCAAACGATTCAATATATCTCGCAATATGATTCAGCCCTTCTTCAAAAGCAGCTCCAATCTTCCTTCTTTTCTTAAAAAGCATATCCTCAAGACTGAAAGGGTCCTCAGTTTCTTCCTCAACTGATTTATTTGTTTGCATGAAGCCATATACTTCTGATCGCCTTTTTTTCCAGGAAAAATCTGACACTTCTACTGATAGCGAACCGCTTATAGAAGTAGAAGCATTTAAGAAAATTTCCCCAAAATACTTCTCCCTTAGCCCACTCAAGTAAACAGCAACTCCCCTCTCCACCTGCTTGCATCAACTACTCAAATTCATGAATTGATCGAGCCTTTCATAATTAAATTAACTACGAAAATGTCCACCTTATCTAATTAGTTTACAAGATAAATATTGACAATAAGAACATATCACTTAGGACATTACAATGATTTAACCTCATAATGATGAATATCTGAGACACTGCTAAACAAAGAACGGTAAAAATTGGACAAGTGATCGTGTAGTGATTTTCAGAATTTCTACCATTTGCACAACTAAAATGATTCCTACAATCTGAGCAAGATCGGAAAAAATATGCTACCTGATGACGTGTGATTTTTTAAAATTTGGCAGCAAGATAATAAGGTCAGAAAGACACAGTTAGCATTTTATATCGTTTGTCATTCTTTTCCTCCGTAAATCATTTCTGCCAGGGGTAGAGCCAACTAGTGTCTAGAAAATCCTTATAACCCGATACCCGCATAGCACCGCCCCGAATGGGGTGGAGATTACCGGCATAACTGGGTAAATGGGGTGGGGACGGGCAGGGTTGTTTCCCCGAAATGGGTACCGGAAACACAGTCTTGCCCTCCGTTTAAAGTTATTTTCATGATTAAGTTTTTTATCAAACAGAAATAAAAGATTTATTTTCATTTTGAGAACATGAGTTGTTCTTAACAAATTGGAAAAACAAAAAGTAATAATATTCACTAACAAAAGACATAAAATAAATAAAATAAGATAAAAAATAAATAAAATGGGTCCCGTCCCACTTTAATCAGGTATGGGAGTGGGGCAAGGTGACAAAAATACCCGACAAGACGGGGGATGGAAATGACCGACCAGCCCATTGCCATCCCTATAGTTGCTCCCACTAGATTTTGGCAAGTGGACCCACCTATATATTAAGTTCTTGCATGTAAATCTCAATTCAGTGATACGCATCGTAACTATGAAAATGAAGATACATGTTGATGCTGTGGAACCAAATCATTTCATTTACTCTTAACAACTTCAAAGTAAAGTCCTTATAATCATAATCACATAGAAATGTAATTCAAGACAAGTAACAAAGCAATAAGTAATGACGCTAGTGTTTGAAGATTTACCATTATACGTTTCAAAATGTACATGTTATCAGAAAGACTAGCATTGCAATAGTCAGAAAATGAACTTCTGTGGAGATTTTCATCATATGCCCCCAAATGTTTAGTTCTAGGAGGAAGATCTTTTTCCTTATGCCTTCTTTCTGAAGCCTTGTCAAGATGAGAACAATTCCAATGAAAAGCAAGCCAAACTTCTCCATACGATCCATGGTCAAATCGCTTCTTTAGTATGTACCTATTTATGAGGATATTTCATATACAAGACTAACTTATAACCCAAGATCAAAATATCACAATTGATGAAACAGTTAAGAGCTAAAAGTAGGTTTAATGCAGGAAGATAGGACAATGTCAAGCATTATTGATCTTAGAGCAGCCCTTCAACACAACCTTTTTCATGACTCCCGCATCTCATGCAAGATAGTTTCTATCTCCACAGAGAATCATGAACCAGTGGATGAACTCCAGCTTAGAAAAAACTTATTTAACCAGAATAAATCTTACTGGACCCACAGGCATAAAAAATTATTTGGTCAAGAATTAAGGTAAATCATTAATAAAATCCTTCACTAATAGCTTAAAATTATAAATAATTGTATGCTCAATAACAGCAAGATATTAGTCAAGAAAACGTATTACACTTTTCCTCTTCTAGAGTTGAGATAATAGTGAAATTGTATGTTCCTCAAACATCTTATCTGTAAAAGGCTTACAATCGCAATATATATCTCCATTGGTAAAACTGCTAACCATGAGAAAGGCCAAAATTCTTAAAAATCCAGATTATCATATTAAAATACCTGCTAGACATAAATGATGTATCAATTATTCAATAAAACACGTTGTCTTTCTATAGCAATAAAACAAAGCGGCAGCATGAATAAAAAATTTAACTAAAAAATGAATGTACCTTGAGTCTGGTGTTCCATGATCATTTAGACCAGTATGATGGAAAGGAATTGATTCCAGAAAACCGAGAAATCTGGCAAAATTTTTGGAGTTTATGCATTGATCCTTATCCCCATCAGCAGATATTCCATAATGCACATGCATAAGTTGATCGTTATACAAATTCAAAGGCCCATCTGCATCAGAAAAGAATGATAAGAATTCAATTATAACTAATATGTGCAAATATATAGCCATTGAAACAACTTGCTCTAATTGTCAAAACATAGAAAAATAGACTTTCCCTCTCTGCATCGTAATTTGGCAAAATATCGGAACTAAGAGGTAAATTTAATAATTCAGTTAAAAATTTATGAAACAGGTCGCCAGTGAACAATATTAACTACTTTCCCCTTTCTTCCAATGTCTATTACTATTTTCTATTTTTTTCATGAAAAGAAGGGTGGAGGTAAGAACCCAGTAATGTGCATATGATTGAGGGACTTGAAAGACACAGATTGTTTTGGCACAGGAGCTACTTAACTTTCAAATATGACCATTATTCTTACTTACCATCACAAAAGAAATCACCACCAGGTAAAGCGTGAGGTAGGTCATAAATAGATTCTTCGTCATCTTTTTGAACCCAAAATGTGTAATCATCATTCACATCTAGGTTCTCAGATAGATAATAACATCCCAAGTCGCTGTGTTTTCCTTCAACCTGCAGCAAGAGAAAAGACCAACAATATCATCAAACCCATCATTCATCACAAAACTTGACAATGTATCAAATTTGCATGAATACGTGATGAATGAGGCCAATCAGGATACTTACATTCATGACTCGGTGAAACTTTCAGATATAACAATACCCAGGGATAATCACACGTGAAGTGCCATCAAACAAATAGTGGATAATAGAAACTCACTCTGACTAGTTGGTTAGCTATATAACAGGGAATTGATTAGTTAAATACAGTAACTCCCACAGATGATTCCCATCAAATTAGTTGATATCCTGGAAATAAAAATTTTTGATATTACAAATCTAATCCTCTTAGAGCTCTCGATTTTTTTCTTTCCTTTTTGAACGTGAAATTTATAAAGGAAACTTTGAATAACACCAACATTGGTCTAAGGTTCTATGGCATAAGCAATGTTCTTATTCTTTTATTTATTTATTTATTTTAAGTATATGACACCAATTGTATTGTTAGTCACAGAATTTTATAGGACTTGACGACAATAGAGTGAAGATAAGAATAGGGACTCAATCTAGTAACTATGTAATCGAGAAAGTGAAAATAAGTCTGATTGTATAGAACATATTGCAAAGACAAGATTATTTATAGTGAAATCACAGGTAAGTATAGATGTCTCACCCAAACCGACTTTCCCTAAGCTGTCGTCATTTATAATCAACAAGAAAATGGAGCCAATAACAAATATTGAAGTCCCGCGAGGTTTCAAGGACATGAAACCAAAGAGAATATCGTGGTGGCAATAGGATAATGTTCAACTTGTGTAAAACCCATCGTTAATTCATTATACAAAGATACACCCTGTATAAAATTCCCACATTGTTTGTAACCACGTCCCCAAGGAAAAGATTTCAACGCTCTCCATATATTCCTCTCCCTCTTGCTCTCACCATTGAAATTTACGAGCACGTTCAAGCATATGACCATACCTTTTTCCAAATCATCCCATTGACTTGTTTATGAATGTGTGCACAAACCATCGGGTTGCAATAACTACTAGCTCAGTCAAGAAAAAACATTTCCAAGACAACTCTTGTATAATAATATATACTTCATTAAAATAGTGATACTTCACATTTCACCGGAGCTATGAACCAGAAATCTCCACTTAGTCGTATCCAGTTGCACAAAGTGCAAGAGTTGGGATTGGGATGAAACCTAGGATGGGATCAGTGTCTAAGTTCATGCTCATAATTGGAAAAAGGTTTCCATAGGAATCACCAATGCATATCCAAATAATACAAAATTCAATCTAATAAAATTGTATCTCATTATACATAAATATTAATATAAAAACTTTCACAAGTCTAAAAGCTTGTGACTGACTAAAAATTTGAAGCCAGCAAGAAGATTAGCCAAAAACATAAAGGGGACAAGAGTTAACTTTCTTGTGCAAGTATTACCAATAATCTGTCAAACTTGGCAATGACCGGATGAGAGTGATCCAATCCTATGAGTGCTGAAGTGTTGTCATTACCTAATAATACAGCGAAAAAAAATTATCATGTTACTAAACAGATACTTCAAATGAAAAAAGGTGCAAGGTAGTGTACAGATTCAATATAAAAAGGTCTGGTCAATGTGAAAAGAACATGATATGTTGCTGAAATAACACATCCCACACAGCCAGCAGTTACTAAAAACATAGTTCAAGTGGAAACGAGAAGCCTTTAATTGCAAAAATAAGCATATGAAAGAGATCCATGTCCATGTGAAAAACATGTCTCAACTGTAGTAATTAAATGTTGCCAACAAACTAGGATTGGGATACATTGCGCTGCTAAAAATTGGGAGTTTACTCTTGTCAATAGGAGAATAATATGAAGGGGATATGTCATTTAGCTTGAGTTGAAATTCACTCATGGGGTAGAAATTTTTTTACCATGACTTTGGCTGGGGATATGGCATAAAGTAGTAGATGTATTTAGGCATATCCTTCACAAAGCTAAAGCATCAGAAAGCAGGGAAGAATAAGGAGTTCGACACCAAAACAATTAAAACAAATTATTATTATTTTTATTTTTATTTTTTTGGGGGGGGGGGAACGATCTGAACTCTTGTCCAATTTTGTTTTTTACAAAGATATCCCAAGAAAACCTAAATTTCTTCCTTGAGTTTCCTACTTGAAACAATCCAGATTGGCTTCAGGAAAAGATCAGAGAAATTACCTAAATCATCATCTGTCAGTCTCTGATATCCGGGAGATGAGTAATCAAATTTATCCTCTCTATCACTCCTGTCCTTCAACAGAATTTGAAAAGGAACCAGTGATCTCAATGGAAGAATTGTAGCCGCCAAGTTATCCATACTTCCTTTCTCAAATGCAGTATTTAATATGCAATCAGCTAATGAGTATGAGCAAGAAGAAGAGGATTCTGACATCACGTTGACATCAGAATGTGGTTCCCACAAAATATCACAAACGTCCTGTGGGCTTAGCTTGTCAAAAACACCGTCAGATGCAGCAATCAAATAGCTTTCGTTGACTGACAAAGGTTGCCAATCTGTCACCTCAGGTACTGATATTACACCATAACTGACAACATATAAACACCATATGAGATATTGCACCTCTAGTCATTTTTTACTAGGAAAAATCAGGAAGTGATAAGTGCAAATGAACCTGTAGAACTATTTGTTTGGTTAAAAAACCTATCACATGGTTTTGTAAGCATAATCTATCTGTGAAAGGACAAATACAGAACAGAGGCACTGAATCTCACCTTTTAAAATGAATATCGCCAATTGCTCTGGAAACAGCCAACTGTCCATTAACTCGAGCTACACCACCCCAGTTAGAGATGTGTCCTCCAAAAGATTCAACTCGGGACCTTTCATCATCTCTGTCTGGATGGTGATCTCTTGTCAGTTCCTTAGCCATCAAAAAAATCCACCCTTTGGAGGCAGCTGATTTTAAGCTATGGTACTTTTTTATAGGTGAAGGAGCAACATCGTTGCTTCTCTGTCTGAAAATCCGTAATAAAGTTGCTGCAATTTGTAAGATAAAGGAAATTTGAAATTTTCATACTTCAATCAATTCCAAGAGAAGAAGTTCTATTCACCAAGTGTATGCAAACAAAAGCCATAGAGTAAAAGCTAGTAATAAAGGTACTGCTCTTCTAGAACTCGAAAAAGAGGCAACTTAGGTCTGACCTTTAGCCTCAGAAGGAGACTGATACACTTCAGAGCACAAAAATGCTTTGGAGTCTCCAATATTAGCAACTAGAATTTGACTATCTGCCACAAGTATGACTGCAGCTGTGGTGCCTGATTTGACATTGTTCGTAGATGCATCCTTCAGAAATAAAATAGTAACATAAAGAAAAGAGTAGGATTACTAGCTCATAAATCGTCATTTTCAAAAGAAAAAAGACAGACAAATCCACAAAACTCACCTTAGAAAATGCTGCATCAATATCATGGATTGCCCTAAGCAATGCTTCTCTCAATATTTCAAAGGGAAAAAGTCCATCTAAAATTTCCGATAATGTCACCTTGAACCTGGATAGAGGTTTGTAATTTATTTCCAGGCATGCTTACACACTTCTTTTAAAAATCAAAAATTACATGCCTCATAGAGTACCTTTAAATCTGAACTAACATATCAGTCGAAACCAAAAAGCATGAATCCGTTCCCAAATATGATAGAAACCCTCATGTAAATTCTAATGAGAGTACTGTGTCCAACTAAAACGAAAAAATTTCAATATCAATTGCTCACTTCCAAAAATCATCAAAAACAGTTTCCTGTCAGTGTTGTTAACTACCTTTTTGCGGATACAGTGGTTCGAGATACAAGGAAAGTTCTAAAAAGAATTATTAGATAAGCTATATTCTATGGTACTGGGTATTGGGCGTTAGCACGCAAAATGTTCATAAGATAAACACGGAAGACAATGTGTGGCAAAAATAAAATGATAAAGGAAAGAAGATATATGCAACGAGTGGAAGTGACAATTGAGAATAAAAAAAAAAAAATTTAAAAAAAAAGGAAGACATGGGTGGCTGGGACATATTTTGTGCAAAGCTAAAAACACTCATTCCCAAGAACGAAAAGATCCCACTAGAACAAGTTAGACCAGGGAAGAAAGGCCAAAATTAATATGATCTAATTGCATGGCAAAGATCTGGTTTTGTTGGATGTAGTGCATCAAATGGCTGAATAAAATTGATTCAAGAAGCAACCTCAAATTTATTGATAAAATTGTTCTCATTCTTGTTAATATAGTGGTCCAGGTATAAGGTTGTGTTGTCAGCTACCAACTATTTGGCAGAATGAAACAGCGTGTGCAGTAGTATCCAACAATTGCATCATTGATCTAAAGCTTGGATATAAACAAAATGAAAATTCCTTTCCCTATCAAATAAAAAATAGATTGCGTTGTAATGGTTGAGCTAAATCTACAACCAAAACCAGCTAAATTGCAGCCAAAATCAACACACAATTAAGATACTAAACTGGAATTCAATAACCCAGCTGGGATTTCATTAATTGAACTGAAATTACACAAATAACAACAAAATGTGAGCTGAAAGGGAAACTGAAATGCTGGGAAATGTGAAGAAATGGAGGAGGGAGAGATTAAGAGAAGTAAGAAGAAGAATTTCAGATTTAGAGATAAAGAAGCGGAGATAGAGATTCAGAAAAGGGATAGAGAAAGTGACTGGAGAGAGGAGGGAGGGAAATTCTGTTTTGCCCAAGGCTAACAATCTTTCAAATCTGGTTTTCATCCTCCCCATGTGCTGATTTTATAGTCACGGAACATTCTAGTATGTAGAGTCATGACATGTGCTTATATAAATTCTTATTACAAAATTTTCTTCCAATTTGCATTTTAAAAAATGTTGATACAAAAATTCAACTGTTACTGTATACTCATGAAAAATTATATTTCATTGCTTTATATACTCGAGCTATAAATAGGCTTCAGCAGATTTATATTTGCTCAGGCTTGATGGCTCTTTTAGAATGTAATATAAGCTAAGCTTAACCGGATTTTACGCTTACAAATTTCCTAGCTGCCTGTTGAGTTAATAAAGGGAAATATATAGCAAATTTGCCTAAGCTTCTTGAGCTTCGAATTAAATTTTCAAAACCTGTATTACCAGCTCTAACGGTATTCAAAAGTATCTTGAGCAATTTTTAAAGCTCATTTTAAGGTATTAAGATGCCTTAGCACGTTAAAGCTTGGTACATCTTCACCCTAATTCACTGACATTGTAACTTCAATAAATAGGCAACAAAAATGAGCATTTTCCATAAGCGAATAAAAGAGAAGAAAGACCTTCCAAGATCTAGCTCCTCATCCAGCTTTGGCTTTTGAAAAACAAGGCCCTCGTCTCCTGTAGTTGGCAGCTTGCCCATCCATTTCCTTGATAAAATGGAATACGTTGTATCGAGCAAGAAATAAGTATGCAAAATAAAATACTCTAACAACAATTTCGAAGCCGTTTCACTAGCTTCAGCTCCATTATGCCCATCAAAAACCGCCATAATTCCAACTGTCACCTCCTTTATACCATCAGCACCTGATTCAACACAAAAATTAAGCACCAAAACTTTTATCAGGAGACACATATTTCTATCCCCTATAGTTAATTTATTTATTTTACACAGATCAATTTTTTTTTTACCGGGAAAAGGAATACGGATGTCGAGAGCGCATAGGACGCGATCCTCCTGAGACTTACGGCGCCCTTGGTGCATCGCCAATTGACAAGTGGTGGTCGGTGATTGGGGCTGCTGTTTGATGTCAGAGTTGTAATTTGAAAGCTTCCAGCGAGGGCATTTAGGGGATTGGAACACCGCCGGCGCACCGCCTTCTCTGTAAACCGTTAAGCACGTCGGCGATTCGCCGGAAACACCAGTGTTCACGCAAAGAATAAACCCTAGTATAGAGACGAATATGCACTTGATAAGGTTCATTTTCTGATTTTGAATGTGAAATTGGAATTTTGCAGAAAAAGAGTTTGGATTCGCGCGGTCGATTTAAGACTGGCGAGTCTTTTTTATATGCTGTTGGTCCGGTCGACCCGAATGAAGTCGGGCCGAACAAGTAACTATTCTGCAATGGAAATTGCATTGTATGTCCCCTACTTTGTTTGATTGTATCAAGCTGGTCTATATACTTTTTATCAAAGTACGTTCATTGACTTTTTATGTTTGTAGCGCACTATTTAAAAAATTAGTAGACACTTAATCAAATAAAAATAAAACTTGATGACCATCATCTTTTAAACACTTTAGTTAAATACATGACAATCATCTTGTTTTTATTGTCACGATATTTATTCAGTCAGCTGACATGACAAGATTGGATGGAGTTATTTGATAGTAGTTATTTAATTGAACGGCATTAAAGAATAATTACGTAATTGACGTTGAATGATAATATAATTATTGTGAATGAAATTTACACTTACATGTCTAATTGGGTAGGTCGAGTAAAACTTATAAGATCCTTTATTTACAACAAAATGGTATACAAAGTCAACATATGTCAATAAATACAATAGGATTTATTGTTACATGAACTATTGAGAACAATTATAGACCTAGTCCAAGACGAACTACGGGTAGTTCATTAAATCCATCGATGAGCATCACAATGGCTTTATTTACGGTATTTCTATCTATTATTTTGGAGATTTATAATTTTTGAAATAAATCTAAAATCATGCTACATGTACATTATCTTTTACATAATTGTTAACATTATACCACATGGCAACACATCATTGGACAATTTAAAAAAAAAGAACTTTTCTACCCACAATTTTTTTGGAAACAAATGGGATGACATCCTATATGTAAGGAAATGAATGTACAATTAATATTATTCTTAAATCTATAAGAAGCGCAAAACCGACCTCTTTATTCTTTATCATTGATGTGATGAACAACGAGGAAGGAGTAAATTAAAAAATAATTAAGTCTATTAATAAGATTACAAGTAAAATAATCATAAAGTAAAAATTTGGCTAAAGCCCCGTGGACTACGTCCAGGGGTTGTCACCCAAGAACAACTCTAAAAACTTACTTTAAAAGTCATTTTATCAATAAAAAAATTGCTTATATTTTTAAGATTCAATTTCAAAAATCAGATAGAAAGTTTGTTTATACATAAATCATATATTAATTCAAATATTTAATATTAATAATAATATCACCAAAATTCATCGCAAACCCTAATTACTTTCCCCACGCCCACCCCCACGCCCACCCCCTCTCTCTCATACATTACAGAAGTCAATGACCCGTTCCCTACCATCGTCTTCATCGTCGGTAAATAGCATTAGGCACTGCGGGTTGGTTCTTTCGGGCGTTGCTTGAACTCGTAATGTTCGATTTTTTTGGCATCTAGTCCCCAGCTGTTGTCTTCATTCGATTCTTTGATTTTTGGATCTTATTTATGGTGTTTGGTTGGTGGTAGTTGTGACATTGGCATGGTGTTTGACATCCCGCTTTCAGTCTACATTTTCAGCTCGTTCTCTAATTTTTGGATATGAATATTGATGTTTGGTATTTGGTCGATGTTGGTTGAGGCGGCGAGGTGGTGGTGCTTTTGGCGATAGAGGTGAGTAGGCGGTGATGTTTTTAATGTTTTGTTGGTGATGGTTGTGATGTTGGCGCGGTGTTTGGTTCTTTCGGCATCTTGTTTATAGTCCCCTTCTTCATCCCATTCTCTGATTGTTGGATCTGATTTTTGGTATTTGGTTGGTGGTGGTTGTGATGTTGGCTGCAACGTGAGGTGGTGGTGTCGTTGGCGGTTGCGGTGATGATGTTAGTAGCTGTGGTGGTAGTGGCGTGGTGTTCTAGTCGTTGCAAAGTCGCGGCCTGATTGTGCGATAACATCATTCTGAATTTGATATTTTGGTGGTGTTTATATGGCGACAATGGTCCAGATGTTGGCTACAGCGGTGGATGGTGGTGATGTGGTAGGGATTTTGGTGGCGATCGTGGCAGTGGTGCGGTGGGTATGGATAGGATGGAAATAGGGTGGGGTGCATTATTGGGTTAATTTCACAAACGGTCACTGAACTTATAGAAAAATTACAAAACGGTCACTAAAGTTTAAAACTTTCAGTAACGGTCACTTAAATATTGTGACGCTTTCAAAAATGGTCACTGAAATTTAAAAAATTTTGAGCTACTTTTGCGACAATTTTTCGACCACTTCCGACCGCCGATACAACCGGATTTTGATACCGTTGAAAAACTTACAATGTCCTCTTCAATTGCAACAAAAAATCTCCCCCAAACTCCAAAGGATTTGACCGGAATAAATCCACAAAGTCGACTACTTGAAAAGGCAAAAAATTACCCAAATTTTGATACCGTTGGAAAGCCCACAATGTCCTCTTTAATTAGCTACCAAAATCTCCCCAAAACTCCAAAGGATTCGGCCGAAATAAACTCACAAATTTGGCATCCCAGATTCTCGCCTTTTTGGGATGGCGACTTTGCGGGTTTATTTCGGCCGAAACCTTTGGAGTTTGGGGGAGATTTTGGATGGTCATTGAAGAGAACATTGTGCGCTTTCCAACGGTATCAAAATCTGGTGGTCTTGGTGGTCGAAAGTCGCTGGAAAATTGCCGTAAAAGTCGCCCAAAAATCTGAAAATCTGGGCAGATTTTTTGGGGTGACTTTTGCGGTGATTTTTCAGTTGAATTCCTTGGTGTTACGGAGAGATTTTGAGTGGTAATTGAAGAGGACGTTGTGAGCTTTCCAACAGTATTAAAATTCGATGGTATCGGTGGTTGGAAGTAGCGGAAAAATTGTCGCAAATGTAACCAAAAAAACTAAAAAAGTATTTTTCAATTTCAGTGACCGTTTCAGAAACTCTTTGAACTTTAGTGACTGTTTTTGAAAGCGTCTCAATACTTAAGTGACCATTACTGAAAGTTTTAAATTTCAGTGATCATTTTTGTAATTTTTCTGTAAGTTCAGTGACCGTTTATGAAATTAACCCATTATTTGATTGATTGTAATCAATAAATTGGTTAATTTTGTGACCTAAACATTGTGATTGTGACTTACAACTTATTAAGTTGTGCTTGAGAAATATCTTGTAACTAATTAATTTGATAATTTGTGATCGTTAAATAAATTGTGACTTACAAAATTTGTGATTTGTAACCAATAAACAAATTGTAATTTATAAAAAAAAATTATTTGTGACCGAGTAATAATTTGAGCCCAGCATATGATAAAAAAATAAGTTGTGACTTTTAAATATGTAATTGTGACTTTAATATATTTAATTATAAAATATATTTTTAATTAATTATTTTATAAATAAATTTTAATTAATATTTAATTTTTAAAATTTTAAACCTTATTTCTTAATTTTAAAATGGATCATAATTAATCTCTCTTGAAATTTTCCTGAAATGAGCATTGGTACGTCACTTCTCTCCAACCACTGAAATCCAAGCAACCACTCAAATCCAAGCCCATACCTAAGGCCCAAGGTGCAAGATTGAGAAATAGCTACATGGACCTACTTTTTAATACACGCGAGCATATATACAAACTTACCATAATTTTTTTTTTAACAAAAATAATTTTATACAAATTAAACTTGTATTTATAGTCTTACTTAACAAAAATATTTCTGGGAAAATGCAGCCAATCCATATTCAATTGAACTGGTGAGTTGTCGGAAAGTTGAGATTTATTCTTCTAGTTATTTTACCGTCAAAATTTTGACAACTTGACATGTCATTTCTCATTAGCGAAGGAGAAGACGTCTTTCAAAAGTGATATCACTTGTAGTGTATTGTGTTGACATCTTCACGTTTGCTAACTTCGATATTCCTTTCTTCTACCTACTCAATGCCATAGAAAATAAAATTGAAATTTGTAGGTAAATCTTCTAAGAAATGTAGTGATTCATAGTAAAAAATGGCAACAAAATAAATTTTTTGATCCTATAAAAAATGGGCAAAATATGCATTTGAATAAAAGTTTAAAATAAATTTTAGAGTTCTGACAATTAATTGTAAACAACGAGAAGTATGTGCATTGTCACACTTGTTACCTTCCAAAGGTACCAAGAGAACGTGTGAGATGTAATTAAACGATGACCCAATAATAAATTCCCCAATGATCGGACAAGAGATGGTCATTTCACACGGTACGTCACATCCTACCGACAACTTCGGTAAGTTCAGAAAAGACAACTCGATTCAAAGTTAGAAGATTCACAATACTTGCACAGTTGCGCCTCTCATAGTTGATATTTGTTGTTTATGTTTAGCGACAAATTGTATAGAATGAAAAATAAGATTTTAAATAAAAAAGTTGGTGAAATATGCTGCCCTAAAATAATTACAAAAGAAACAAAAATATTGAATATAGTTATTTAAGTAAAAGTAGCGTTGTATATATTCAATCAAAAAGTGAGTAGATTCTTGAACATATGTGTACATAGGAACAAACGTAAGAATCAGAAAGAAATGATTAGAAGTCCCATCAACTATAAACTATTTTTTTATTAAATGAGCTGCTAAATTTGTCATAAATTTGTACTAAAACTACAAAGTATATTATCAAATAAGCATTGATCTAGATGTTCAAAAAAATTAAATAAATTTCTAAAGGTGAATAATAAGTTATTAAACCTCATAGCCTTATCTGAAAAGAGAAAAGAAGATGAATCTGAAATAAAGCTATTCTAAATGAAATCACATGGTAAAAGAAGAACATAGGATTCCAAGATTTTCAAGAGCCAATTTGAATCTATAAGATATACATCAATTGGCAAACTATGTATGGATGGGTCCTGATTTTTTGCATTCTAATGCTCATGCATTGTTCATATATGGTTGGTATATAATCAATTGCTTATTTGAATGTAAGACAATTATTTCTCATTTGGTAGATATACTACACATATTTTATAATATCGACGAAAAAAGTTCAATTATTGTTCACAAAACTATTTAATGAGTTTAGTTCAATATTGTGTACATTATACTAAAGTATGCACTTAAATTGTTAGATTATGAAATAGATGAAAATACATAAAAGTATTGACGATGGAAGATGGTGATTTTATAAAATCGCATCGGGCTATGCAATTAATTCAAAATTAAGTTGAAAACATAATCACCCTAATGGATTTCAAGTTATATCTTAATCCTTTTAAAGATGAATATCGAGAAGAATAAGCATGTCTGGAAGTGTTTAAGCACGATTTAACATATAAATAAATAAAAATGAATGATAAATAATTAGGTAATACTTATGGATCGTTTGAAATGATTGAATAAAGAGTAACTTAAATATTTATAAACATGAGCCACATAGAATGATGTAATGAGATTATGAATCCAAAGCCAAAACGTCATCCAAAGCAAATAAAAACTTTAAATCCCTCATCAATATATCATTATCGTTATCATCCTCTTCATCATCATCTTCTTCTCCGACAAGACAAAAAACAAAATAATTACAACTTTCTTGGTAAGAATTATAATTTAGCCCCCGTTTGATCCTCATTAAATTAAATTACATTACATTCTATTTTTCTCTCTCCTATTTTCAACCGCACAATTTTTCATAAAATAATATTACACGTAAATCGAAAATTTTTCCTTCTTTTTCAACTACTCATTTTTCTAAAAAATATTATTCCCTCCATTTTCATTTTCAGGTAATGGGGGTCAAACGGGGGTTTAATTACAAGTAAAATTTTGATGTGTTACCAAGAAAATTTCATAGTCAAACAGATAACTCAATCATGATAGAAAAGTAAGTATGAGCGCCTGATGATCATGTCTCTCACTTTGCCTTTAGCCTTTGAGGCTTTTTTGTGAATTGGGTGGGGATTTAATACCATATTTATTTGTAAAGCTTTTTGAGCTTCTGAATTTAGAAGTTGTTTGACAAAGTTCTCGATAAACTTTTTAATACTTTTAATAAAAGTTGATAAAATATCAATATGCGATTATAATTAATCATTGATTTTTATCTCAATTTTTTAGCAAATTTTTAAAATATTCCAAACAAGAGCTTATTGATAAACAATTTCTCCTTTAAATTTATCATTCTATTCAAATGAAGGGTCTTTTTAAAATTTGGGTGTTTTATAAGAGGAATGAAAGAAAAGACAGAAAGTGATGATAATGTCAGAACCTCCCAGTAATTTTTTTTATTTTATTTTGGTCGAAAATAAGTTGAAAGAAATAAATTATGAGTGATCCTTCCTAATTTTTGCTTAATTTAGAAACCCTACGCTACCCCCACTTGACTTCGCAGAATTCCTATCTTTTCTTTTGTGGGATTTCTTCATGATTTTGTATGCTCAAATAAATAAAAGCCCGTTGAATCAGCAACTTTAAAAATGTTAGAAAATAAATACATATATATTATTTAAATTTTACTTTTTAACACATCGTTTCACTAAGGGTCCGTTTGATTGTAAAGATAAAATTTGGGTAAAAAAAACGCATTTTAGAGAATTGAATTGTCTAGAAATTATTTTCCTGAAAATTGTAAATTATTGTATTTGATTGGTATAATTTTCCACGTGGAAAAATGTTGAAATAAAAGTTTTTTTTTAATGTTTGTTTGACTTTATTTTACATGAAAATTATCAATTAAAGAAATAGATTTTACTGGTATTATTGGGGATGAAATTTCTTTCTATTGCAAAAAAAAAAAAATTCAAAAAAATCATTTATCTTTTAATGTTCGTTTGATTTTATTTTACATAGAAAAAAAACCCTTTCCCACCATATAGGTGGGAAAATGAATTCCAAACAATCAAGAAAAACAGGCGCGTGATTAAGCACCATGGAATTCACTTTTCATGGAAATTCTTTGCAATCAAACACTCACAATTGGCCAACATGAAAATTAATTTCCATTTTTCATGAAAATGGATATCTATCAAACGGAGCATAAGATCGATTTCATTTTTCTATTAAAAAAAAAAGAAAAAGAAAAATAGAACCTCACATGTTAATGATTTCACCAATTATTAATAATGACACCGGAGCTCAAACTTCGAGTAGTCAAAAAACTTACTTTACAAAAAATAGAAATATTTTATTTAAATTAAAATTTAGTCAAATCTGCAACACAAGTCTGCCACTGAATCATCACTATCTGAGTACACTATTTTTATATATAATAACGTCATTCATAGTCGACTATTACAGTAATCATGATCTCATGTGACAACTTATTATTTGAAATATTAATTTTCTTTATCTCAAATAATAAATTAATGCTTTAAATAACAAATTATCACAATATGACCATTACAATCGCCAACTATAAAGAACATTATTCTCTTATATATTAGTAATTTTCCTTATAATACTATTTCACTTTAGTTCACATATATATGTAGATATACTTATATATATAGCCACAAAGGACAGGCTCATTAATTGGACAGTGAGGAGGTTTTAATAGGCAAATAAACCATCATACTGTCCGTTTCTTTCCATGCTTCTGATTGCATGGCAAGCTTGTAAACAGATTTCTAAATTCTATTCTCCAAATTCTGATACAAGCAATCCAAGGTTAAGATTTCTCTGAATTTCATCAATAATCATCACAGAATTTTTCCTTTGAAAATCTTGATTATCAGATTTTAGGGATTCCTTTAATCTGCCTGAATTACCCAGCACCCCCACAGCCACTGCTTCGCTGTACTAGCAATTTCTTACTGTTTTCTTCCACCTGTTGTCCGTAGTTTGAGGGACTTAAAGGTGTTTGTTACAAGGGTTTTAAAGCTTATCGTAAAAAAACAAAGAAATCAGTAGTAGGTGGGTTTTTTTTTTTTTTTGGCTGTTTTTCTCTCTTCGATTCTTCTTCTTCTTCATCATCATCCGGATTCGTTTTTTATTCTTCTCTTTTTTGTGCTCAGAAGCCATGTTTCCTGCTGTTATGTCCAATTCAAACTCTCTTTCTGAAGAAGCTAGTGTTTCTTCTGGTCCTAGGGTTCATGAATTTGGCTGCAGCTTCAATCCAATGATACAAACACAATCCATGTCGACACAGCAGCCACAGAAAATCAAGAAGAAGAGAAACCTCCCTGGAAATCCTGGTATAAGTTTATTAATCATTTCATAAGATTTAAAACTGAGTTTTATAACTCCGATTTGCTAAAGATCTGGTTCTTTCAGATCTCTAAGTGATGAAAAGGGTTTATGTAGCTGATCCTAAATTTACCGGGTACGAGGCTTAGTTTTCTTGATTTAAATTTAATTAATTATGTTTTATATGTTGAAAATTTCAGACCCTGATGCTGAAGTGATTGCATTATCCCCAAAAACCCTTTTGGCTACAAACAGATTTGTTTGTGAGATTTGCAGCAGGGGTTTTCAGAGAGATCAGAATCTTCAGCTTCACAGAAGAGGCCACAGTCTTCCATGGAAACTTAAACAAAGAGACTGCAAAGAAAACAAGAAGAGGGTTTATGTGTGTCCTGAACCTACATGTGTTCATAGCCACCCCTCAAGGGCTCTTGGCGACCTTACAGGAATTAAGAAACATTACTGCAGAAAACATGGGGAGAAGAAATGGAAATGTGAAAAATGTTCAAAGATTTATGCTGTTCAATCAGATTGGAAAGCACACTCAAAAACCTGTGGAACAAGAGAATACAGATGTGACTGTGGAACCCTCTTCTCCAGGTAAGAATCCTTTTGGCGTTTTTTTATTTTAAAATTTTCATTTTCATTTTTTTTTTATTTCATCATGATTTGTCCTTTTTTTATCTTCGGGTTCCCAATTTTCCTTTGTCCACTAATTATCTGGAACTCTGATAAGACTTGTACTGGATTCTTGTTTTTATCTTTGAACTTGAGTGGGCACTTTCATGTCTCTTAAGCAACAATAAATATGGGGTCGATTAGATGAACTTTTTTGTCACTTAACCATATTGTTATAAGGAGACTTGGGACCGGCTATGACAAACATAGGCGAAGTCGCAAACAGACTCAAAGCAGTATGGGTGAAAACTGATTACGGTATATTCAATCATGAATACAAGACAAATTTCAAAGAAAAGAGCAAGAAGATAGACAATGTGCTTTATACCAATTTTCAATGTCATAAAATCTATTAGTTAATATTCTTAAATTGCCGGTTTTATGTCAATATTTAGGAAGTGTTAAGTTTAAACCATTTCCATGCAAGGGTTCCTGTTTATCCTTTTTGAACTTTTGCCAGTTGCTAGTACAATTGGTCAGGGAACAAAGGTCCCAAAAACAATGATGAATTTCTACTCTTAAGTCAATAAGTGAGATTATAGAATCTTGAATACTTAGCCCTTGTTTCACGGTTATTATTTGGAAATTCTCTCTCTCTCCCTCTCTTTTTTTTTTTTACATGACTTTTGCTACGTACAGTCCCCTCGTAAGACGAGGGTCCACACTCTTTTTATTGGGCATGCCCCCCTCGGGTGAAGGTGTGGAGTAAAAATAGCAATTTTTTTTTTACATACTCATTTTTAATTACACATTCAAGCAATAAAATATTCTATATATAAATTTAAAATTTTTTTCTACTTTTAACTGCATATTCTTCTAAGAATCAACATTTAAAATATTATTTTTCTCAAATAATGAACTTAGTTCGGAATCCCATGAGTGGGGTGGCATGAAGTGGTGGGCTCATTTTTTACTGGCAAAGGCTGTGAAAAATATTCTGAACACATATTGTCATCATAACAGTGGTAGTGTAAAGTTGTTTTCTTTCTTTGCTTCTTATCTTCACCAATAGTATGCAATTGAAGATTTTTTGAGGTGTCCTTGCACACACACATGTATGAGAAGACGCCAATTCCTTGAAACTTTTAGACATTATCAGTGCCATGTCTGTCTCTCATTTTTGCATGAATGAGCATTAGTCAACTATCCTCATCTCTCTCTCACACACATATACCCAAAATCAAGCACTTTGTACAATTATGAGCTACAAAGATAAGCTTTATTAAGACCTTTTAATCTGTCTGTGGTATCCCAACAATATTTTTCTAATATTCTTGTAACAGTACTGTAAAATGAAATCAACAAGAATTTCTAATATGGTTATGTAAGGAGCTAGTAACAATAGAGCAATCCTCGAGTTTCAATGAAGCTTTATTTTGCAGTACCTTTGGAAGAGGTACATAGCAATGTCTCTTTCAAATTTCGTCTACAAGCATAACATATTTGATATGCAGAATTTGAACATAACTTGTTTTTGAAAATCAATTTTCTTCCAAATCATCATAGCTTTATCTTATTTTTTAACAACAAATTCTGAAAAAAAGAAAAAAAAAAAAAATCAATTTTCACTTGAGAAAATCTCTACTACAAAGAAATCCTACTGTCTGTCTTGTTTAGCACTGAACATTTAGTTCTGCGTACCAAATGCATGTAAAAGAAATCACGGGAGACCATTTGAGAGGGATCAAAGAATCTTATATTTTCACGCTCGTTAATCACTCAACATATATTCCATTTTGTCTGTTGTTCTCTTTATGATATTTTGTTTGTTGGTGAATTGGCAAATCTATTGTGTTCTGCAGGAAGGATAGCTTCATAACCCACAGAGCATTTTGTGATGCTTTAGCAGAAGAAACTGCTAGACTCTCTGCAGCCAACTCAATCTTGGCCTCCGGACAAAACCCTAATAATGAACAACAGCCACCGCGCACGGCGGCGACGTTCCATTTCAACCACCAAAACCCTTCTTCTCTCTTCTCCTTCTCTGCCCAACCGCGCCACTTCCCAAACCCACCACCCCAAATCACCGCCCTCCTTCACCCCACCTGCGACCCACCCCAAAACCATTACCCCAATAACAATGTCCAAATTAAACCTGAATCCATCCACATTCCCCTCTCTTCACCATTTTACCAAGATCCACTGCACAAGGGACTGATGACGTCACCCTTCCATGGTCTCCAAGTCAGCACCGGCGGAGCACCGCTCTCGGCCACCGCACTCCTCCAGAAAGCAGCAACTGTAGCTACAGTACATTCTGTAGGTCAAGTGAGCTCCACCATGGCCCAGCTGGATATGGGTCACATGAACACCACCGACGGGGGGTTCCCGGCGGGGAACATTGTCACGTGGCAGGAGACAGACCGCTTCACCAGGGATTTTCTTGGGCTGAAAGGTAATCACTGTGGTGGTGGCAGCAATAATGGCAGCTCGGGGGACCTGCTATCCTACGCCGGGGGTGTAGAATACCCTACATATGATCGTGAACACTCACTATTGAAGCATCAGGGAGGATTTTGATTTGCTGAAACTGCATCAGAAGGTGAACTGTTGAAGCTACACTGCATTACAGAGGGCTAATTCAGATGCTAAGAACATGAAGATTTCTATTTCCATTAATTTCCACTTTTTGATTTAAATATTAGACTGTATTTTATTCTCATAATTGCTTGTTTTCAAGTTTATTAAAGTGCCTTTTGGGTTATAATGATGCAAGACTTTGAGATGTTATCATTGCAGAATTTGCCTTACAAAGCTAATGAGTATCTGAATTTTGTCTTTCATTTAACTTTAGGAAGCTTTCTTGATGTTTGGATGTTTGATTTACTTAAAAATAAGCCAAATTTATCTTTAAATTGCTTACTTTCGGTACATAATTTTAAAACTACTTTTTAAGGATAATAATCACTTTTAAAAGTATGCTGTTTTAGTAGCATACAAAGTGGTAAACAGTACAAAGCAAAGAGGGTAAAAGAGTTGATTGCATTTGAAAACTTGCGAAAAGTAGGAAATGATGGAACTTCAATTTGATTACGATAGACTTAAGCAAGAGGAAAAATTCATCCGAAAAATTAATTAGCTTTTATATATGATTTTTTTTTCACAATTTCTAATTAATATCGTATCAATCTTACGCGAGACTCCCTCCAACACCCTACATCAAATTTCATATCTGGTTCAGCTTAAAAAAATTACTAAAATTTAAATTAAAATCAACAATTAATTTTAAATACACATTTAGGGAGTGTTTATGCCCCATTATTTGGAGTAAATTACCCAAATGGTCACCGAACTTTGTAAAAAAATTTCACTGGATCATTGAATTTTAAAAATTATCATTGAACTTTGCAAAAGATTTCCACGGAATCACTAAACTTTAAAAATCACCCCATTCATCACCGAACTTTGCAAAAAGTTTCCACGAAATCACTAAACTTTAAAAATCACCCAATTTATCACCAAACTTTACAAAAGGTTTTCATAGGATCACCGAACTTTGCAAAAGATTTCCTAGAGGTCACTAAATTTAGTGACCCCTGAAAAACCTTTTGCAAAGTTCCGTGACAAATTAAGTGATTTTTAAAGTTTAGTAATCTCGTGAAAACTTTTTACGAAGTTCGATAATGAATTGGATAATTTTTAAAGTTCAGTAGCCCTGTAAAAACCTTTTACAAAATTCAGTGACTATTTGGATAATTTACTCCCCATTATTTGTGAATAATGTATTATGGAATAGTGATGTTAAAATGTATGGTTAATAAAGAATGAATTTTTTTATTTATTTACGTGTAATATTATTTTAATGAAAAATATGTGATTCAAAACGAGTACCGTAAAAAGAATAATGTAATATTATGGTAGACAAACATAGCCTTCATAGAATCCATAACTTTTTAATTACATATTTCATCAACTTTGACCAAAATCTACTGTCAGATTATTTTTTAACTAAACCAAATCGAGTAATAGTCTAGTCTACTTAGACAGGCAAAGGTTGGAATAACAAAATAATAATAATAATACATAAATATCTTAGAAATAAAATTTATTTTATTATTTGTGATGAAACAACATACCATGGCGTACTTTAACATGAATCACTTTTTCTTAAAAGACAAATGAGAACACTCGTAGGATATAAAATTCTCAAAGTGTCAATTGTAACTCCGGTCGATCATGCAGTGTATACCAACTTAACTTACCAAACACGTTTGTTCGGTCATTTAAGATATTTGAAATAATATAAGCTCACTTCACTCTCTATTTTGAAAAACTAGAGATTCTTTCTCATCCCCTTAATATTTTTTTGGAAGTACTAAGAAAAGTAAAATGATTTGATAAACCCAATGCCATATAGCCTTTTCTAAAGGGGTTAAGAGGCTGTAAAAATCCTGCTATAAGCGTGAGTTTAAAGGTAACTAGGTTGATGCTGTATGTGTTTTTGTGCAAGAGTTAGTGGTGGTCCGGGAACTTCGTGTGGTACAAAGACCCCCAAAAGGAAAAGAGAGACAATTAAAGATAAAAGATGATTGAAAAATGTCAACGGTTATGAAAAAAGATGCCCAATTTATTTCAAAGTTTAGAATTTACCATTCTAAGTCTCCTTTTCCAGGAGTCATTCATAATAATCTTCACAATTTATAATTAAGGCCCTTCCGGTCGTAACCCAATCCACAAACGGTACAGGACACGTTCATTTTAAAGTTCACGCTAGCAAAGCAGGAAGAAATCTCTTGAATCTCGAACAACTTAAACTTTCACATATATTGGTTCAACATTAACACAAACTGAAGTCGTTTCACTCCAACTTGCAGATGTTCATGCAACTCGACAATAGTATAATATCAAAATATCGTTATGTAAGAGTTGGTTAATCATATACAAAGCAAAAGTGAAGAATGCATATTCAACATTCTGGAGAAAGGAAGGGAATCATATTCCAAAGCAGAGAATAAGCACATTAGTCTTAAGTATATTCAGCATCTCAAAATTAAGAAAAGGTGAGAATTAAGATTGGACCAAAGAATAAAAATTTTGGGATGTTTAAGTATATCCAAGCTTTTAGAAAGTAGTATATGTAAGTTGCAGGCCTAAGGTACAAATACATACCATTTGCCTAGCAGAAAATACTGCCTCTTTCTATCTTGCTCTGCCAGCACGACCAGACAAACAAAAAGCTTCTATTCTATTCCTCTCCCCCACCCCTCTCTCTAAAAGACTTGAATATGTCATATTTCATCAGGGAATCTCATTTTTAAGAACCTATCTTTTATTCATTCCAAAGCAAACAATTACTAAACCTTCTTTCTTATGCTTTTATCCCTTTTCCCCTGCTGCTGCAAATCCCAATGTAAGTTGATACTCTTATTTTTCCAGAAAAACCTTGAGTATCACTACAGCAATGGATAAAGGGAAAGCCAAATATTCAAGGCCAATTTTAACATAATACTGGTTAGGCCAACCCTCCCATTAAAAAAAAAAAAGAAAAGAAAAAGAAACAGTTAAAGATAGATGCATATTCTCGTAGCTTTTCAGATTCTTAAAAGTTATCTACGAATAAAGCAAATTCGGAAACTAATTATCTGAAAATCAATAGCAATAGAATTAAAAGTATTCTGAAGCTAAAATCAATAGTTTCCGAAAAAATTGTACACTAAGGAGACGCATCATTGGCTGAGATCACAAAGAGCATTTTGCAAATAAGTAGGAAGTAAAATTACTAAAATGAATTCTAAAGCATCAAATACCTCAGGTTAGGAGGGATTGAGATACATAATTTAACCAGATTGAAAAATGCAGGGATTTTGCAGAAATATGAACAATTGTAGCTCATGAAAAGATCATTCTAAAATTAACAGGCCATTAGGAGAGATGCGCTAGCATTGCTAACCAATAATGTCAAACTTCTTGGTTGAGTTGCAAATATTGGCGTAAAATTTGGTACAAACGAAATTAATGGATATCTCATGAGACAAGACCTTAAATTACTAATTGGTCCACGTATGTAAGCATCACAACTTTTCAATAAACTCTACTCTCTCTCTCATGCTTGATTGTCAACATGAAGACATTATTGACCAAATTATTGATAAACTTTAAACTCTCTTTATCTTTACATCAACATCAAATATTAAGGGCTGAAGTTTGTCAGTATTGTTCTTTAATCTCATCATAACAGCTTTTCTCCAGTCCACTAACCTTTTATTGCTCCGTTGACAATCTCATTTACAAACCAGTGGAAGGTTTCAAAATTTTGAGGGACACAACAGTTTAGAGCTAAAAACTGAAAATCTAATATCTTTCATTTGGGTAAGAGTGTAATGCATGAAGTCCTTTTCCATTGACTGTCAAGATCAATAGAGACATCAAGCAACTTGTCGATTTCAATTTAAATCTAGGCTATTTTGATTTTTAGAACATACATCTTTAGGACATTTCTGTTGTGTTGAATTTCAAGTTGCACGCGTTAATAACTGAATCTAAACAACAAGAAATAAAATGGCCAATCTTATGTGGAGCTTATATTCTAGATTGCAGCGGAGGACTCACTTGTATAATTTGAAACCGAGAAAGAAGATCCTCCACTGTCAATTTAATTCAATTTGCAGTTCTGAGACTAGAAGCTATGTGTTGAGGGAAAATTCAGTGTCAGCGTCTCATCCAGCCAATGGTTTTGGCCCCACCAAAATTAATTCCCAGAAACTGATCCAAAATCTTCTTGAATGCATGCCTATAAAAAATATTCTGTTTTACTGTCATAAGGAGAAGCGCTTTAGTCCACCAAAACATCCTTTAAAGATGAGAACAAATTTTGTGTGCTTCTGATATTCAAAGAAGATATATCCATATAAAAGGATGAACATGGAATAAAGATGCATATGCAGGCCAAATTGCACAAAGTGTCACCCATCACCAAAATACAAAAAGGAAAGGAAACGAAAAATGTAAGAACTCAAGATGTCACGTCAGGATAAGAAATTAATGTGAGCAAAATGTGTATATATAAATCACAATCAACTTATTCAAAATGTTAAGCATGTAAATATAAAGTAACAAGAATATATTGATGAGGATTGCTAGTTGCTACATAACAGCATCCATCAAAGTAACAAAATTCTGATACCGCAGAAACGTCCAAACATTGTTCACATGGTGGCATTTTCAGATCTCAATACCATCAAGTGGACGAGGGACCACGTTATTAGCACTAGAGGTATCAACTTCGGCGCTTTTAGCACAAGCAGAAAAAGTAATGTTGTGAGCATAGATCATATGACGTAACAGGTAAACATAATGAGGATATCATAAATGAGTGTATGTTCAACTCCAAAGAGCTTTATTCTGTAATATCTGAGATCGCATCTTAAGTTTATACTTGTAACATAACATCATGGACTGAATCTAAGTAACTACCTTCATTGACTAGATAATAAATGTGCTCTGCATGATGGGCGAAGGGTGGTTGCAACTGGTATAAAATGGAATCCAATATTGAAGGTAACGGTTTTTCTATCTCTTCACTATTCTGACATTCAAATCCTAATGGATATCTAAACAGCAGTCATTGTGTGATCTCTGGAATTATGGTGTACAAGGAACATCAAAGTATATCCCTAATTTAGTCCCTAACCAGTGGAAAACACTCGAAGGAAAACAGATATACAAAATATATAAAAAAAGAACTCAGAAACATTATCAACCCCCCTCCCCCAGCCACCATGATGATTAAAAATAACAAAAAGGAATGGTTGAACAAGAAATGGAAAAATAATGAGATACCTGGCATGCACACAACACTTTCCCATTCAGAAGAGTGTACATGTCATAAAAATGGTTATATAACATTTCTGTTAGAACTGATTCCAGGAAAGGTCATACAAAAACAACAGATTTAGAAACCAATAAGATATCCTACTCTTCACAGGGAACAAAAGAAACCACTCAGAAAGTAAATTGACATGCATGTATCTTCGTCGTTTGATCAATCTCCCCAATTTTCAGGTAAGAATTTCCGTTTAACTTTTGAAGGGTGAGAACGAAAGGCAAGAAAAAGAAAACAGCAGTTTTACCCTGCAATGAATTAATAAAAATCTGGGTAGCATATATAACTGGTGCTGGGGAAAGAGAAGACATGAGCAGCCCCTCACCAGCACCCAAAGCATATTATAGAGAAGCATCTCATGAATACAGCAGGTGAGTTGAACAAACAAACAAAACGATTTGGGGCCAAAAGTGGGGATGATAAAAACAGAACAGAAGAAAACAAAAGAGTGAACTTCTCCAATTTTGTCTGATATTCCAGAAGATCAAGCATTTAACTGACTTGAGAAGAAAAGTCGTTTGTTTACATATTACTCATTATTAATGCCCTGCTGATAACAACATCATCTTCAGTATTGTTTCTAACTGGTATTATCCTTGCACATTAGAGCTCAGTGAAAATTACTTGGCAGCAAGATGGTCAAATGACACCAAATTTAGCATATAACCCAGGAAAGAATATATTTCTGTCATCAATGTCTTTCTCCAGATACAAGAGATAGGAGTTTCTTATCATCTCAAACCTAAAATTTTCAAATTTAGACATGATCAATTGTTTTCATTCTAAACTTATACAGAATTCTAGCTAACACTCCCTCAATATTTCTTTCCCACATTTACCAAGTGTGCATTCTGCACATTAAACTAACTGATTCATGCTCTGCAAATGGAATAAAATAGTTTGTCGATGTTACAACATGTGGAGAGGATTATGAAAAGGAAATATGATGCAGGAAAATTTAGTAAAGCCAAGCCGATTCAACCATAAAATTTGGGAAAGTGCCATGTTGATTTATCAAAAATTATATTTTCTTGTGACCGCCAAAATCTCTTTTACCCAATATTCTTCCATAAAATTTTTCCTTGCAAAGTAAAATAGCCATCATTATTATAACTAATTAATATTGGATAAATGGATACTCGTCTCTTCTAAACAGGATAGTGCCACATTAATTTACAATTACTATCAATCAAATATATCTTCAACACCTTAATCCACATTAATTTAAATTCTACATAACGTTAAATATTACAAAGAACAAGTACTATGACAGCTCCTAAGCTGCTATTTGTCTATCCATCTTCAGCAGCATAATGACCTAATTTTATGCATTCTTGTGCCTGCTCAAACTCCACAGTGATGATCTCCAACAAATTTACCTTAAAGTTGATCCATGACATTCTTAGTTCAAAGTTGCTGTCAAATTCCTATCGAGTATTGACGAACAAAGCATTATGAAAATGAAGATTCGGTCAAAAACACTCCAAGCGCTATTTCTCCATACTTGAATTCAATTGCACATATATGCTACATGGCAGAAGTTCTGAAGGACAGGAAAATATTCATTGTTATGTTAAACAATATCCTTCAAATATAACAAGTATTACGCTGTCATTACATTCTGTCTTCGAGCCTAGATCCTACCTTAGCACTTAGCAACACAACATAATGCATAATGCAACAGTATCGTCACTGCATCAAGAGACATACTCCAACAGGATATCTAATCATAACAGTTAACATAATTCATGAAGAACAATAAGTGATGGCAAGAAAGCCATGGAAGTTGTGGACAAATATTCAAAGACAATACTGGTATGAAATGAGAGATGATTTTCTCAAAAAAGATGAACTTTTAAGGCAGGAGAAAATATTATTTGTAGAACCTTCAGAAGCTGTAAATTATACAAAAAACTTTACCAGCTCTGGGAATAACTAAAGTGTCACCTGCAGGAAGAATAACCTTCTGCCTTGAATAGATACAAAGATCTGGTTTTTCTTAAATGCAATAGTGGGGACAAAGTTTTATTGAGCACGAAGAACTTGAGAGAACCAGAGAGAACTTGGATAATGAAATGACAGGAAAACATGAAAAAAAGTGATAGGAAACCAAGCTTGGAATGCAGGGATAACAAAAAGCTCATGAATAGGAAATAAGACGGTTCTCTCCTACTGAACTAATCAAATCGCTATTTTTTGCTGTCTTGATAGTAATCAAGTTTCCCTGGTTCTTCAGAAGGGAAACCATCAAATTCATGTTGTATTTTGCATATAAAAAGGCCTGAAAGAAATATTCACCTCTTTCTCAAGTAATTATATTTTAACTCGTTTAAATTTCCATTAGCACCAGTAGTTTGATAAGATACCTTAAACTATAGAAAATAAAGCTGACGTAAACCTCAAAGGGTCCACTTCAAATAATGTACAGTCAACTAGAAACTCTTGAGTTATCATTCCAGTGGAAATAGACTTTCATTTGCATGCAGAAATCCATCCGTCACCAAGCAGAATTCTCAAATAATTTCCCCCAATAAGAAATCATATGCAGACACTGATACAGAGACAATCAATGCAATTAATGAAAGCTTCATGATAATAATGCCATATTAGTCTCTGGAATTGCACATTTACTTGCCAGTCAACAAGAATGCCATAATGAACGTGTCAGTCTATTCATCATCAAGCAGAACGGAATCTTCAGACCACCTCCCCATCCAAAAAAAAGGATATGCACCCACATAGAGGAAAACAAATTAGCTATTAATGCAAGCTAATGTGCTAAATTATTGTATGAAATGTCAATACCTTGTTTTAATCCTGCAACAGCGCATAAAAAGTTGTGGTCTCGATTGTGGTGTGTGCTCGATCTAGCTTGACCATTGTTCATCCACAAATAGATAGAAGCCGGTGCTTTACGCTTCAAAGATGCAGGCTGCACAAGTAAACAAATTAATTTAAGAGCTAAGCTACAAAGTAAAACAAAATATGCATAGTTGTCAATGCTGAGCCGAAGAATATATGAGGAAAGAAAATTAGCTAAGAATAATCTTAAAATACTCGCTAATAATTTATCTGGCACGTCCCCACGGAGCCTTCCACCAGTTCATGCTTCCACAATCATAATTCCAACAGTGATTTTACACACCGACTAACACTACAGAACCTGTCATAGGACATACTGTGCTAATAATCAAAATATGGTGCATGTTTGGAATCACTTATAACATGTACCAACATCTTTAAGCCCAAAAAGCAAATATAATGTATTTGACAAATTTCATTTTATAACAACGGACAGGAGCATTTGACGAATCTACATTTACACTAGCTGGATCTATCAAAGTTGTACGTGTGGAAACTAAACATATGAATCACCTACATTTTCTAAAAGGAATGAGAAAAACCAATAATTCTTTATATTTGCATCTGTGATATTAATTTTAAAATCCATACAATTTAGCTGTTAAGTGTCTAATTTCAAAATTCAAATTCCATCCTCTTTCTCGCAGTCTTTTGCATCTTCTCACTTCGGCACTTCCTTACTTGAGTTACAAATCATTCCAACTAATCCTTAAAGGCTAATAAGTTGATTTACATTTGACGCTCTGTTGAACAAAACTACCAAAGATGATCGATAATGAATGCGATACATATGTATAGACGAAATATAATATGGATTCATCCAAACTTAGATGAATTGTGTTCAAAATTCACATTTTCTGTCTTTATTTCACTATACATGAAAAGAAATACCAGCAACTAGTCTTCACCATCGTTCCAGGCTTCGATTTCGAGAAGGCAATCCAAATTTCACATTCCAGAGGAGAATGGCAGCTGATATAAGTTTAAGAATTGTGGCATTTGCACTGAACAAGTGATTGAGAAATGGGTGTGGGAATAGAATTGTTACCTGGTGAATAATTGGGAGAATGGAAACTCAATGAACAGGCGAATTTGCAGAGGCTTTTCCGTGCCTTTTCACGCCGCGGGAGGAGATAAGATTGACTGTTGAAGCGCCAATTCTGCATTTTGATTCCTCCTTTCAAATGGTTTTCAGTTTTCCTCGTGGCCGTCACATAGCGTATTCGGTCCGGATTCACGGGAATGGTAAAAAACCGATTCTGTAGAGGGATGGCATAATGTCCGTCCTTGTCCGATCCTCCCGTAGTCCCCTTAGGAAAATTGGAGCTGACCGGGGAGATTTTTTTAGGGGAAATGAGTTGGAAAGGACACACCTAATAGACTTTTTGTGGCCTTTGACCAAAATTATAAAAATAAAAGAAATTTTAATTATTTTTAAATGTTAAAAGACTTTTTTACCCTTAACTTGTAAAACAAAAATGAAGAAGAGATTAGAGTTTTTTCCTAAATTTGCTGAAGTCGTGACTTGAACTTTGGATGGAAAGAAAATATTTTAACTTCACAACCATTATGGCAAGTGATGGTCCTTTGTTTTTTGTGAACAAAATATATATATTACATTTCAAAATATTGTTTCATTTTCACTTCAAATATAAAATTAAATTTTAAAAATAACCCACCGATTGAACCATTGACCCGGTGATTTTTTTCGAGTAGATTATCGGGTTGGCTCTAATATCTATACATTCATGTTCTAACACACACAACATTCTCTTCCTTCGAATTCAAAAAATCTTCCCCTTCAAAACTATCTTCTTATTAGAATTCGAACTCTTCTTTTTAAATTTAAGGTCATCTCTTCTTCGTAATAGATCTCTGATGCACCCAAAGTTTTAACATTGTCCATAACTTAGCAACTAATTGAAAACAATTATTGAGTCATTTATTCATTAGACACCTATTATAACACGTGAAATTTTTTAAAATAAATTTTATCGTTATATTTTGAAAAAAAAATGGACAAAAAATATTTTTTAAATTTCTATCTTATTTAGAATCCAATAATTAGATTTTAATAAAAAGCGATGTAGTATATCGATATTGGACTCATTTTAAAGTTTGTAATTAATAAGAACTGTTCGACTAAAAAAAGTGGATTTGGATAAGTCAGCACCAAGGTATTTGCAGTTTGAAGAAATCGTAAAATTTAACTTATCAACTTAATAAAAATGTGGAATGGAAATGAACTGACACTATTTCACTGATTTGCATAACGACATTGAAATCGTTCCTGAAATATAAAACGACTTCGATATCGTTTCAACATCGAATACACTCTGCTTGACTGATTTGTATAACGACGTTGAACTCGTTCCTGAAATACAAAAAACAATGTATATGTCGTTTCGATATCAAACACACATAGGTGCACGCTATGGAATAAGTAAACAACGTTATGTCGTTTCAATTCAATTTTCGACGAGAATGATATCGTTCATATTCAATCGTAACTATAATATCATATATATCGTTTTAGGAGTGGTTACACTAGAACGTTATAACTACGATATTAAATGTAATTAAAATTTACATATTTTCGTGACTTTTTATAATTTTCAAGTTTACATATTGTACATATTCAGAATGTGAACATTGTGCATATTCATGTAACGATATACACTTCGTTCCGGTGACACATAAAGTCGTTGATGCGTTCTAATATAAAATGCTCTTATTCTAATAACGACTTTGAAACTTCCCCCTAGTCACAACATAATAATTAGAACGACATATGCATCGTTTCTTTTCAAATTTAACGAGTTTGAAATCATTACAGTTTAAATAATAATTAGAACGACATATGATGACCGAAAGAAGGCATCAAGTGGATTGATAGCACTCGAATAGCTCAGAAAAAGCGAATGGAGATACTATCTTTCTTTCTATTGAATGATATCGAACTCACTTAGTGACTTATTTTATCATCCTATATACGATAAATATATGTCAGGTGACCGTGGACAATCTAATCGTCATTTTTAAAATTATCCTTTTAGTTAAGATTTAAACTAAAGCGATAGCAATATTATCAAAATTGTACTAAAGCGATAATAGTATCATTATGTATCAAACCCACAAAATAAGACAATGACTTCCAAATCGTTATAGTACAAATTTAATGAGTTTGAAATCATTCCAATTCAAATCACAATGATAACGACATAGATACCGTGTATTTTTATATAAAACGATATTTATATCGTTTTAGCTAAATATAAAGATTCGATCGTTCACAACCACCTGTTATGCTTTCAGCATATGTAGAACGATTGAAAAAGGTCATTAAGTGGATTGACATCACTCGAATGACTTAAAAAGAGCGAATGAAAATACTTTTTTGTCGAAATAGTTCGAAGATGGTATACAATTATGAGAGCAAAAATGTTCTCATAGTTTCTTTCAAGGGAGATCGAACCCACTTAATTATCTATTTTGATCATCCTATATATGTCAGATGCATGTCTCGTGGTCGAATCGTTATTTTTAGCATAAATGATATAATTGTCGTTTTATTTTAACTGAAACGATATGTATGTAGTTTTAGTTATGATTTAAGCTAAAATGATATCAACGTCATCAAACTTGTATTGAAACTATCATGATATCGTTATATATCAAAATCACAAATATAGTAACGATATTCATATCGTTTTAGTACAAATTTGACGAGTTTGAAATCATTCCAATTCAATCACAAGTATAACGATATAGATATCATTTCGTTTCATATAAAACGATAATTATGTCGTTCTACCTAAGAATAACGATTCGACCGTCCACAACCACCTGTCGTGTCTTTAGCATACATAGGACGATCGAAAGAGGTCGTCAAGTGGGTTGATACCACCAATATAAGGGGATTTCGAACTAAGCTAATGAAGGTGATTCGCTCCGATTCGAAAGTGATATACAATCATGAGAACAAAAATGTTCTCATAATTTCTTTTAAGGGAGATCAAACCCATTTTATTACCTATTTTGATCATCCTACATATGTCAGATGCATGCTTGGTAGTCGTTCGAATCATTATTTTTAGCAGAAACGATATAAGTATCGTTTTATTTTAACTGAAACGATATGTATTTAGTTTTAGTTATGATTTAAGCTAAAACGATATCAACGTCATCAAACTTGTATTGAAACGATAATGATATCGTTATCTATTAAAATCACAAATAAAGTAACGACATTCATATCGTTTTAGTACAAATTTGACGAGTTTGAAATCGTTTCAATTCAAATCACAAGTATAACGACGTAGATATTGTTTCTTTTCATATAAAACGATAATTATATCGTTCTATCTAAAAATAACGATTCGACCGTCCACAACCACCCGTCATGCCTTCAACATATGTAAGACGATCGAAAGAGGTCATCGAGTAGGTTGATACCATTTGAATGACTTAGAAAGAGCAAACGAAGATACTTTCTATTGGAACAGTTCGAATGTGGTATATAACCATGAGAACAAATATGTTCTCATAGTTTCTTTTGAGAGAGATCGAACCCATTTAATTATCTATTTTGATCATCTTAAATATGTCAAATACACGTCTGGTGGTTGTGAACGGTCGAATTGTTATTTTTAACATAAACAATATAATTGTCGTTTTATTTTAATTGAAACGATATGTATGTAGTTTTAGTTATGATTTAAGTTAAAACGATATCAACGTAGTCAAACTTGTATTGAAACGATAATGATATCGTTATTATCAAAATCACAAATAAAGTAACGACATTCATATCGTTTTAGTACAAATTTGACGAGTTTGAAATCGTTCCAATTCAAATAATGACTATAACGACATAGATATCGTTTCTTTTCATATAAAACGTTAATTATATCGTTTTGACTGAAAATAACGATTTGATCGTCCACAACCACTCAACACGTCTTTAACATACCTAGGACGATCGAAAGAAGTCATCAAGTGGGTTGATGACATTCAAATGGTTTAGAAAGAACGAACGAAAATACTTCTTTCTGTCGAAATATTTCGAATGTTGTATACAATCGTGGGAATGGAAATATTTCCATAGTTTCTTTTGAGTGAGATTAAACCTACTTGATTATCTATTTTGAGTATCCTACATATGTCAGATTCATGTCTGATGGTTGTGGACGGTCGAATCATTGTTTTTAGCAAAAACGATATAATTGTCGTTTTATTTTAATAGCAACGATATGTATGTAATTTTAGTTATGATTTAAGTTAAAACGATATCAACGTCGTCAAACTTGTATTGAAACGATAATGATGTCATTATGTATCAGACTTACAAATAAAATAACGACATTCATATCGTTTTAATACAAATTTGACGAGTTTGAAATCGTTCCAGTTCAAATAATAACTATAACGACATAGATATCGTTTCTTTTCATATAAAATGTTAATGATAACGTTTTGACTAAAAATAACGATTCGACCGTCCACAACCGCTCAACACGTCTTTAACATACCTAAGACAGTCGAAAGAAGTCATCGAGTGGATTGATGACATTCAAATGACTTAGAAATAACGATCGAAGATACTTGTTTTTATAGGAATAGTTTAGATGTTGTATACAATCGTGGAAATAGAAATGTTCCCATTGTTTCTTTTGAGTGAGATCAAATCCACTTGTTGACCTATTTCAATCGTCTAATTTATGTCGATTACATGTCGGGTGGTCGTGGATTGTTCAATCGTTGTTTTTAGCAGAAACGATATATATATATTTTTTATATAAACTTAAATGATATATATGTTGTTTTATTTATGATTTAAACTGAAACGATATTGATGTTGTCAAAATTGTATTGAAACGATAATTATATCGTTATGCAGCAAACCACGAAATAACATAACAATGTCCATATTGTTTTAGTACAAATCTGACGTGTTTGAAATCGTTCAAATTTGAATAATAACTACAACAATATAGATATATAATGATATCAACATCATTACCACTCGAGAGCAAATGGTCCCTTGGAAGCGAGCACAACAGTTCCCTATGTCGTGTGTGCTATGTAAGTTTTTTATATAACGACGTCCATATCATATTATTGGTCTATAATAACTTCAATGCCATTATGAAAATCAATAAAGTGGCATATTTTTATACTAGAACAACATTAATTTCGTTTTGTGTTTCAGGAACAATTTCAATATTTTTATGTAAATTAGTGCAATTTTCGTATTGAAACGACATCAATATCATTTTATGTTTCAGGAACAATTTCAATGTTGTTATATGAATCTATGCATTTTTCATATTGTAACGACATACGCAT